GAATTACTTATTTAAAAGCATTTTTCAATGATTCAGAACCTTTTACCGGCAAAAAAACCAGTTGCATTTAACTGAGGAAAATGTCATCTCAGTTGTCAGGCCTTATCATGCTCTATTGACCCATCTACATCCGCTCTAAAAAGTCTAATTTTGATTAAGCTGCTGCAACGATCAAAATTCTGATATTTGTTCTAAACGCTGCTGGCAACCTAGTGAACCACGGTTTGTTCAATTACGCCGGAATAAGTGCAGTATAAGCTTTGTACAACACACGAATTTTTTTATCCACTCGGATTCAAATATATTAAAAAACCATGTGCTTAAATTATGGGATTTTGATGCAGAAATGTAAACAAAATCTCAGCAGTACACCCCACATTCTACAATCAAATGTTTCTCTCTCACGATATAGCGTACGGTAACAGTACAAAATAGTTATTAATTAACTTTCAAGTAATTGGAAGTCAGTGAGAAATTTACAAACGAAATAAGATCAATAATCTGTCTGTAAGTATTCAAACAACGGTTTACCACGGGTAGTCGGATGACAACGATCATCAACTTTTCCATATCCAAATCTCGAGCTCAAACTAACAAGACCTCATCGTCAGTGGATCAACATCATGCAACAATAAAATCGAATAGTGGAGGTAAATAACAACTAAAGTCAAGCAACAAGGTGGCACTTGTAGAATTTGAGGACTATAATTATCCTTTACCATGAGTTCAGATCGGGAAAACAACCTTAATCATTCCTCAGTTACCTAATATTTCAGAGACCCCTGACACAACATACAATATCTTGACAAGTATCCTCTTGTCCTTACTCAAATGCAGCCTATTAAAAAATTCAATCTATCCTTTAATCTAAAGTCATTATTAGATCACTAGAGCTGCTTGTTGATTTTTGAGAGCAAGTTGAAACACACATCAAAAAGACTTTGAAGAGGACAGTAATTTTTACAGCTTATGATACAGAAACAAAGCTAGTAAACGGAACAAGTAAACAACGGTAAAAATTCGGTTAGAAGAAATAACATTCGGTTCTGGAACCAACGCTCAACACGGCAGTAAAATAACAGCTAGCAACAAGGAATTAAAATATAACCTGTAAAACATTGAGTTAAATCTTAATAGTGAAGAGATCTCAAACTTCTCTAACACAGTCACCTGGTTTTTTAAACATTAATCTCGTTTTGTATCAATAAAATGACTGTCTAAACTTTTAGTCCTCATTGCAGCTTTTTAGATACACACTCATAAGTTTAAGTATATTAGTGATTATGGATGAAGACAATGATGATTATTTGCCCTTCGACAAAAAGGATTTCTATATTTCATTTTCATCACCGTTTGGATTCATTTGCATTCTTCAGAAATACGAACCATGTCATGGTGGAGCTTTTCTCTAAGAAAGTTGGTAGACTTATCCTAAAATTATTTGGAACTTATGGTCCCACCTAACAGAAAATGTCTTCGTCATGTCCTTTACTAACATCTCAAAGAAAACAACTGAAAAGGTAATTAAACTAGGGAATAAACCCAGCCAACCTCACCAGGATTCAGCAAATTTACATCTTTTGCAATGCAAAAGCAAAAGGAAGCATAATAATGATTCATTATATTGATCGCAATCCTTCACATTCTGGTGAATTAGTAATTCGCCCTAGTACTGAAATGGATATAATGTGAGAACATTTTCTCTCACAGATATTTTAAAGTTCTGTAACAGAGTAGATAGTAGTAGCAACTATTGGTTCCTTCACTAGAAAGCTAGAAGCTCATTTCGGGAACAATGGTAGCACCTGATACTACTCTAGGCGTTATCCTCTGATCACTAATATTTAACGAGTCTTCAGTATCTAGTAGTAAGGATAGTAGTTCGGTGGATCTGTGTCAATCCATGCAGCTTGTTTTCCACCGGAAGTCCAGCTTTTGATTGAAAATGTTCACTGATAGGGCTGATACTACATGTTCGAGTAAGGAGTCCCAGTCACTGACCATTTGATGGGTAAAACAGAACCGCACTCTCAGTTCATGGTGTTGTGCTGCCTAGACCTTCTTTTTATGGACGCAGAGATGATTAATGCTGGAGGGGGAAAATGATAAGGCGTATTAACACACAAATCGTAATTAAAGATACAGAATACCGATATAAGATCACATTGCGTTCCACGATACGATAAGAGGAAGAGGTTTAGGCGTTTTAAGCACTTGTCTTAAGAGATTTTGAGAAGACCATTCTCTAGTCCTGCTCCCACACGTTGAACACGCCCATATGAGTTAGTATTCTTAATAATATATGGGCCAGCTGCTTGAATACATTCTTCTAAATGTGGTCTTACATCTTGTCAAGGTATTTGAGTGTCCGGCGAAGTGGTCGTAAATCACAAGAACCTTTGGCAGCAGCTGCCTTGATATGTGTAGTTATTTGCGAGTCGGGATTCTCTATTCGCCCTAATTCTTTGTGTCTCGGCACGCATGGTAGCGATGTGTCGTTAGTATACTGGCAACAGCTACCATGTCCAATGTACATGAACACACTTTCTAGAATTAATTTCTAAGCCCCAACATTGGGAACATCTAACATACTCGTCTAGATCAGCCTGGAGATTAAAATAATCAGCCTAACTTTGACATCATCCGCATACAAAATGTCGACGACTTATGTAATTCATTGACGTAGAGATGGAAAAGTAGTGGGCCTAAGATGGTGCCTTCGTGTCTTTCCATCTTCCCTTACCCTCTATCTTCCGTCCAAATGGTTCAAATGGTTCGAATGGTTGTGGATGGAATAGAAGAAGCTTTCATTTAACAGGCTTAGTGTCTAGTAGCAGGGGATCACCAATACCTCCAGGCAAGAACCTAGGTATATTAACGATAAGAGAGAAAAAAATGAATTGGTAAATCATAGTAAGATACTATCCTTAGTCCTTAAGAATAGATCAAGTCGCCTCTTAATGGACTCCTGGAAAGTTGCTTGAACTAACTCAGCCGGCAGCGAAGTCCAGCATTTTACAACTCTTAAGGAGTAGAAGTTGTTCCTGCAGTCCGTTCTACTATGTTGTATCTCTAATTTCTGGGTGTTACCCCTTAGGTTAGTGTTGGGACTAAGCTTAAGTAGGTGTTTAAGGGGATGTCCAGGAGTGTTAAGGATACTATAAGCCATCAGAACGTCACCTCTAAGACGCCTATACTCTAATGCGTAAAGGTCGAGTGATTGGAGGCGTTCTTCATAAGGTTTAAACTTGAGTCCCCGAACTGATTTCGTGGCTCGCCGTTGGACACGCTCCAGAGTGTCCTTATCCTTTTGAAGTGTATGAGGGAATACTATGTTTCGTACTCTAAATGGGGACGACTAAAACTGTAGAAGATTATGTGGAAAGTTTTTTCGTCAAACTGACCAAAAATGCGCTTCAATGTTATCAGTACAAAACTTGCTCGAAAAGCATTTTTGTCACAGTTAGAGTAGGACTTCAAATCGTAGAGTGCCAGAACTCCTGAATCTTTTTCGACTCGGGATACTACTAGAGAGGAGTTCCCTAAGTTGTAACTGTAGTCTACGACATGTCGCGGATGAACTAATTTACACTCTGAAGTGTTAAAGGTAAGTCAGCTGTCATCTGCCCAACTTCGAAGTCGAGTCTGATCCTCCCGAAGTGCGTTAAGAAGCTTCTTATCCATTCCTGTATATCATCCGTTATTCTGAAGCTCAAGAGCTTCTGTGTAAGATCTGGGTAAGAATCCTTGTCAAATGTTCTGCTAAAGTCTATGAATATCACACAGACAGATAGTCAATTATCTAGGGCTGCTGTCCAACACTCTCCCGCAATTAGTTAGTTAGATATAAATGCTTGTTTCCAAACCCGTGTTCCTAAGTAGTTAACATATTTTATGGTTGTACGTGACTTAGTAACATGGACCGAATTATTCTTTCCAAGTGGCCTAACTCCTATTTCGGTTAGACTGACAGGTTGGTAGTTAGATACTATTTGTATCTGACCATCTTTAAATATAAGACTAACTGTAGGATCTTTGCAACCCTTTTGGAGTTGAGTGCAGGAAAGGGACATGTTAAAGAGCACCATGAGTGATTCCAAAATAGTGTCTGAGAGAAGCGACAGCAATCGTAAATGCAATTCATCAAGATTTTGTGTCTTACCAAGTCTGAGATTATTGAGCAGTCGATGAATAGCTTCTTCAGTCACGTGTACTGATCTTATAGTTGTTGTCTCAGTGGTGTGATGATAGGAAGTGTCGTCACCAATATTCACAGAGTAGACTTCGCTGAAAGTTCTAGAAAGTCTCATATTTGGCCAGATCTGATTCAGCTGATATATCTGAATTTCATGCAAAGGTAATAAGGAAACACCATCACTACGTTTCGCCATTCATTTAAGTTACGAAAACAAACTTTTTTGGCAGTTATAGCTACTGCTAGGTGTCTTTCATAAGTATTTGCGCTCAAGTGACACGTGGTTTGTCGGTAAGAGGAAGTCTCAGAAGTGTTTCTTACGCTTCAGAAGCTTTCAGGATTCCTTATTTGTCTATTGGGTGCGTCAAACTAATCAAAGATAAGATCACAGTCGGTCTTATTCCAAGAATAGATATGGCTTAAGACAAAGTCGTCGGCAAGACAACATGGGTCACGGAATATGCCTCCTATAGTCACCAACCCCTCTAGATTTAATTGTACAACAAGCTACCTCACATGTGTCACTATCATGCGCTTTTTATGTACTTGATTTTACACGGAGATGACTTCTTACATATGATATTATACCTCCTTATAGAGACTTATAACTTTATAGCTTCTAATACAGATGTATACCGTTATGATTGGCGAACAGTCTACATTTACACTAAAGGCTTTACAACAATAATTTAACCTCTACATTAAACCCAATCCTCTTTCAAAAATTGGATGCAATTATAAGACATATACTCGTCACTAGTTCAAGGTTTAACGTCGTAATCGTTTTTCTGGATATATTCGGGCCACATCAAGGTTGCAATCAAGGTAATCTTGGACCCCGCTAAAAGCACTGACAAGAGGGTATTCGGGCCTTCATGATTTTGTAAACTTCAGGTATTTTTATTCTATGTTTCATGCGGATATTTCGCATTTTCTCCGTATTTTTAAAGTTATGATTACTGCATAGGAACACCTGTCTGTGGCGAAACGTATTTGAATACACCTTAGCCATTATAATGGCTATTATAAAAAGATATATTAACCCTTCTTTTTGAACCATACAAGATTTGTACATTTAAGGGACCATCATGTTTTTTTGGCGTTTTGTGTTGCAGTGAATATATGTGCACTGAGTCCTATATGAACACGAAAGGACAAATTTCATGTCGTTTTGTAGCAAGTTTGATATACTAATTACTATTACGAATCCAGCAATACGAGTAACTAAAACTAGCTATAAATACTGATTACAAGAAATGGTAAATACAAGCGCGTAATTTTATTAGAGTTATACAGCTTTCATATCATATTGAGGATGAGCTCAGTAGACGTGTCCATATTACAGTGCATGTTTCAACTGAATGATGAATTTAATTATATGAGTTGATCTGCTCCTAGTTGGTTTTCACTGCCGATGAAATTTACGTCGAAGTTAAAAACTACTGTAATTTCTACAATCTAACGCATTTCTCCTTAGTAAACTAACACTGATTATTAGTGTTTCACCAAAGTATTCGTAATTCCGTGTTCTGTTATTTAATTTTTTTTTCGTACGATAAAAGCTAAAAGCAACAGGCTCTTATTAAATCTGAACAATAGGTTGTTAAGACGGTATGATAATTAGGAGTATTCGAATTAATGTACTAAGAATTCGTGAGTGTTATTTAACACAGGTAAAATTAGATGAGTACACATGGATGTATCATATTTGGAATTCGTAATAAGTACACAATCAAGTACAAAGTAATTATCAGTTATTACAAATACTACAAACGGTCTTACAGCTCTAATTAAGCTCTTTGCTCGTTAAAATAATGCCAGACCTATCAGCAGACATATTCTAAGGCTCTTCGTAAAAATACATATGTAATCTGCCCTACAAACTTTATAAATAAGGACCGAATGCTTCGTAAACACCTAATAAATTAAGCTAACAAACGCTCGGGTGGGACCATTGTAATATGTGAGTATAAATCCGTTGGAATTCATTCTTAAATCACATAATTTGGTGGAAATCTAATGGTTGTATGCAGAATATCTCACTCATAAATTGATCAAGAAGATCCATAAACCACTTAAAAGGGATTCACTTGTTCAATGAGGTTCTAACAATTGATCACTTACGATGGTCGCAAAAGAACATCAGATACTGCACTCCAACCATAACGACGCTATACCATGTAGCTAAGTACGTCTAAGAATCGTTCTTCAAATTCTCTATTCTTAATTTAAGTTTGTTATTCGTGTTTTCATGGTATGGAATACACCTTATGCTCTGTATTATGTAATAGACAACCAAACTAGAACGTGGAAACATCTAGTAAAGCTGATTGTTGGCTTAATTTGTCTAAATGCACACTTTCTAGTTGGGATATGTGAAACGGTTGTAACAGAGATAAATAACGCCTCAAAACTTATCACATTGAGACTAGAACACACAACCAATCTTTCTTTAAGTCTTGAAAGTTATTAGTACTTTTCACTCCCTAGTTTTTTTTCGTTTAGCCTTTGGTGTTCTTAATTCTGAGTTTTAACAATTTGTCATACCTTATCTATAAGTTAGGTTCAATACTGACTTTCGGTGAGATGCAAGACACACGTCTCGTTACTCTTGGGACTAAGTTGTATGTACATGCATCTCAGCCCAACCGTTGCTGCTACATTAACGTGGCGGTCGAGTGTGCCCATTGTGATGAACCAATCTAGCTATATTGGTTAGAACAATCGTTTCTCAAGGTCCTATTTTGCCAGACAGGTCGGTTGAAGAGCAGTAAGACTAAAAGCAGCAAATCCAAAGTCCGAAGGAGAGGTCGTACTGCTGACTGTACAGAGGTGTGACAGCAGTAAGATGTTTCCTCCAGACAACCGGTACAACAGCGATGCTGCCTTCCCACAAGGAAGGGTGGGATTAGAAAAGGTTGACCCTAAAAATGCACACCTTGCCTTATTCCATGGATTTCCGTCTCCGGTGGTAAGGTCCTAACAAGTACTGAGCTAACACGAAAATTACTCACAAAAGGTTGTGTGTAACTGGCCTCAAGTAGTTGTCCCTTGGGGACTGCGGTCACGCTCTCAGGTCACTGTGACCACCTCTAATCCAATTTCCTTTTTGGGTACCTCAATAAAAACCCTTTCGCGGTGTGGGCAGATGGGAAGTGAAATATGAATTACAGAAAGCTTTCTGAACTTCTTCAAAAAGCTAAACGTTCAGACATAGTACTCGTATCATGTTACTTTAATACTCATATAGGTATTTTGGTATTCCGGCTCAGCGAACAGATAATGGTGGTCGTCTGCTGCAACCGTGCTCAGAAAATTGTTCATTTTTAGCAAGCACTGATTTTAAGCATAAGGAGAGGCATCGTTTAACATGGCGACCCCCTGCACCAAACCAACGATGGACTCAAATAGACCGTATTACCACTAGTCATCGTTGGGGAGGCTCAATAGAAGACCGTCGCTCGTTCTAAAACACTTACTTGGACTCCGATCATGCTCTAATACGGGTACGCATTTGCTTGCTCCTTACTGTTCTCAGAAAAACCACATTAAGGAAATCCACTAGAATTGAACTGAGTGACGAGAAATCCGAAAGCAGATTCCAGGAACAACTAAGGTCACACTTGGGTAGCTCTAAAAACGAAGTTGACCCAGATGTTGCTTGGAAAGATATACAAACAGCTGTGGAAACAACAGCGACATCTATTAGTGATTTGAACCAAAGGGTCATGAAAAACCAGTGGATTTCTGCTAAGTCTGTTGCACTGATAGATTCTCGTAAATTCATCCCATCTGTCTTCGAACATGACGACGAGCGAAAACAAATCAGATCTAGGTTAACCAAAAGTTTGAGGAACGACCGTGAGCAATAAAAGCAAAAGAGATGGGAAAGGCAGCGGCTGTAAGACAAGACAGCTCTTTAGACTAATAAAAGAAACCGGAATTAATAAGTCAAGTGTGCGTGAGACTATCTTGAAAAAAGACGATACTCTTATCTGCTCTCAGCCCAGACGTTTATAACAATGGGTGGACTACTTTAAGGAGCAGTGCAGCTGGCCTTCAGCTACTCTACTCTAGCTGAAGTTTAAAAGGCTATAGCTAATCTGAAACGAGGAAGAGCAGCTGGTCCAGATGGATGAACTCCGGAGGTCTTTAAGGATGATGGTTCAATTTTAGTGATTAGGTTGACTAATATTTTAGCTAAAATCTGGGAGTTGGACGTTATCCCATCTGACTGGTTGCAATCACCGATTGTTTCAATATATAAGAAGGGGTTGAAATCATCCTGTGATAACCATAAAGGGATTAGTTTGACTATTATAGCATCTAAAATAGCCTCATTAATTATGGGGCACCTAACTAAGACTCGTGAACTGCAAACACGAGAAAATCAGGCTGGTTTCAGACCTGGCCGTGGCTGCGTCGACCACATACTCATCATTTGTCAGATTTCAGAACACAGGCATACTTATTGGTGTCCGATAATGGTGGTCTTTCTTGATTTTAAAGCAGCATTTGACTCTGTAGACTGAGAGGTTCTGTGGCAGTGTCTGTCATTCAAAGGCGTACCTCAGAAGTACATAAACCTTATGAAGGCTGGTTCATCGTTCTTCTAAACGACATCGTCAGCACAAACTTCAGGTAGAAGAACGATGAAAGCTCCACGGTCAAACTGTCTAGCTCAGAGAACAAAACTTCACCAAAATTATCCACGTGAGCTACAAATCTTTACCATATTCTACTTACATATATTGACTGATCGTTTAGTTATTATGTTAAGTTTTCCATTCATTTAAAGTTTTTCCCATTTTTTGCCTTTGTTTAAAGGAAATGAAAGAAATGAAAAGTGAATTGACAAAACAGTATGGTGCGAATTTTGTCTCGTCTCTTCAAAAAGCTAATTCTGAACAAAATTCAAAACAATATCGATGGTTAGAACAATGCTATGAGATAGTTATATCTGCGAAAATCGATAATAATAATAATAGTGGTGATACACCAGTTATTCCAATTGATGGAGGTTCAGATGCTGGTATGTTTTGTGTAGTCGGTGCTCAATTCGATCCATCTCGTATTATTTATCACCGCTCTACTACCATTTCTAATAATAATGATAATATTAATAACAATAATTCGAAATCCATGGAACCGGGTGATATAATCTTAGCTGTTGATGGTTATGAACTGTCAGGTTATACGAAACGTGATGCTATTACATTGTGTAATGCTTGTCTACAATCTCATTCACATGTTCGATTGCATCTTAGTCCACCTCATGCATTAGTCACAAGTAGTACAATGTTGTCGAGCTTTTTGGCCATTTCATTTGCAATGGACTCATCAGAGTATGCCCTTCAAGAAAAAATACGAGAGAATGTTTATCAACGTGTAGTACCTTGTAAGTAAACATTTATAAAAAATATTTTTTGATATTGGGATATTTTTATCCTATCATTTTTGTTTTTTATACCATCGTACACATTTTGTCTATTTTGGATTTCAGTTCTGAAAAGTGCTGCAACCTAAACCGCTTCTTCAATCCACCTTCAGAGTTCTTTGTTCTTTTATACGGTTGGTGATTGACAGTTAATTATGAATCTTATTTAAATATTTTTATATATTCTCTTATTGTTAGGTACAACTAGATTACCTAGAGCAGAAGAAGTAGATGGAGTTCATTATCGTTTTATGAATGTACCTCAATTTCTTGCACTTGAACGTAGTGGACAATTATTAGAAAGTGGAATGTATAAAGGTATTATACTCTCACTGTTTTCAGCCGTATTTTATTCGGTAGTTTTCTAATTTGGTGTATTGTGTTTGCTTATAATATTATGCTATGATACAATCATGGACATTGTATTTTCGTATATAATGGTTTATCGCGAGATATGTTTCTCATTGGATGTATGTCATATTTCAGCGTAATATTGTCTGCTTCATTTTAAGCTTAAAGTGAATAGAGTATTCACTACATTTAGAAAGCTAGACTGATCAGTTTGAGCTGTCCAGTGACATTGATAGCTTTCACGTATAAAAAGTTTGGTTTAGGGTCTATTATATAAACATGTTTATGCATATATAAACATGCACTTGGCAAACGGATTATTATTATTATTATTATTATTATTATTATTATTATTATTGAATAATGAGATATGTGCAAATTTGGCAATATAATCTTCTTGTTACCCCAACAAAAATGTTGCTCATGAACTACACCAAATAGGAATTCGATAGTCACAATATTTAACATTTTCACCAGAAACAAAACATTTATAGCTAATAATATAATTGCTAATTTATTACAGGGGATGAACAAATATATGACGCGACGAAGAAACTGAGAGGGTAATTTAGTAAACCAAAGAGACAGATTGAGGACAAAAAAAAGAAGAGCCAATCACTGAAATTTAAGGACAGGGACGGATGGAACACTTCGAGGAACTCTTATATAGACCAGTACCATCGAATCCACCGGATATCGACGTAGTGCACACACCTTCCTATATATGTCACTCCACCAACGACCGAAAAAATCAGAATGACCACCAGATAAATCAAGAGTGGGAAAGCAATAGGACCTCACAATATACCAGCTAAAGCACTAAAGTCAGACATAGAAGTAACTGCAGACATGCTCAACATTCTATTCAGGAAGATTTGGGAGGGAAAACAAGTGCCGATGGACTGGAAAGAAGGATGCCTCATCAAGATACCAAAGAAAGGAGATCTAAGCAAATGTGAGAACTATAGAGGCATCACACTACTGTCAGTACCGGGGAAGGTTTTCAACAGTGTCGCTTCACCGGATGAAAGATTCAGCAGGCTCCCAACTTCGAGATCAACAGGCTGAATTCGTAAGGATCTTTCGTGCACAGACCAAATTGCGACACTACGGATCATCGTCGAACAATCTAGTTGAGTGGAACTCGTCACTATACATCAACTTCTTTGGTTATGAGAAAACATTTGGCAGTGTGGATAAGAGAACATTATTAAAATTTGTTCCTGAAAAGAGCGTCAACACCATCCGGAATTCATGCGACGGACTACACTTCAAAGTAGTGCTTGGAGGACAGCGGACAGGTGCATTCCAAGTAAGGACCGGAGTAAGAAAAGGCTGTCTACTCTCTCCTTTTCTTTTGCTTCTGGTGATTGACTGGATTATGAAAACCTCAACATCTGAGTAGCACGCAATAAAATGAACAAGTGGATGCGGCTAGACAATTTGGACTTCTCAAATGACATGGCCCTTCTATCCCATACACACCAACAAATGCAGGTCAAGACAAACAGTATAGCATCAGCCTCTGCATCAGTAAGCCTCAACATACACAAGCGAAAAACCAAGATCCTCAAATACAACACAGAGAACATCAACCCAATCACACTTAATGGAACATCATCGATGAACGTGGAGGACCTGATGTAGATATGAAGCCACTGATTGACAAAGCCAAGTGCCGCATTCTTACATTTAGTAATAATATATTTTGAAAATAATAATTACTGAATTCACACCAGTTGAAGAACATATGGGACTCAAAACAACTGTCAACCAATATCGAAGTCAGAATCTTCAATACGAAAGTCAAGATAGTATGACTGTACGGAGCTGAAATTTGGAGAACGACTACAACAATCATTAAAAAATTGCAAGTACTTATAAACAGTTATCTACTCAAAATATTCAATGTCCGTTGGTCGGATACCATCTGCAACAGCCTACTGTGAAAGAGAACAAACCAGCTTCCAATTTAAGAGGAAATTAGGAAAAGACGTTGGAAGTGGATAGGAAACACATTGAGGGAATCATCAAACTGCATCATGAAGCAAGCGCTAATTTGAAATACTGAAGGGAAAATGGAAAGAGGAAGACCAATGAACACACTGAGTCTGGAATTAGAAGCAGACATCTAAAGAATGAATAACAACTGGAAACAAGTAGAAAGGATTGTCGAGGACAGAGTTGGATGGAGAATGCTGGTGGGCGGCCTATGATCCTCCACGGGGACTAACAGGCATAAGTAAGTATTACAGGGCCCCCAAATGCCCTAGTACGGCCGAGAGTGGGGAGAATCCTCTCACCCTCTCGAAATGCTCTCACATGGCCATGCGTATTTAGCCTCTGCCAGGGAAGTCCTACTCACTGTCTTCTCGTGGCGGGGGTGTTGTTTACGAAATTGAGAGGACGAAAAGCGAATGTCCGGCGCTTTAACCGGATCCCAAACCGATGGTGCACATGGGCTCCAGTATCCTGCGGGAACAAATGGCGTATGAACCAATCGTTGGTCACTGGCTACCATGGGACCGCATCTCCTTACGATGCTCCACTGTCTTGTGGATCAGATCTTCAGGTCGAAGGCTCGGGGTGTGGCCCCCTAAGACAACCACCTGCTTCGGTTTTGGCACCCGGGCAGTATCACAGCCTTCACACATATCAAATGAGATCTGTGTGGCGCATATGTATTTGGTGCCTCCTTGTACCAATATCTATGTATTAAAATAAATAAGTAAATAATAAGTATTACAGGGGATAAGCATATACAGTCTTGAATTTGCTTCAATTGTTTTGTTCAAAATCACATTTTTTGTTAGTTCATCTTATCATTCATCTTATAAACTACATTCATTCCCCAGTTTCATTCTTAAAAAAACTCTCATGAAATGTTTCCCTTTCAATTATTTGTTCTATTTCAGTTTATTAGCTAAAAAGGTCCTATCCGTGTGTACATTGATAAGGGCAAGCATACTCTAAGCTGTCAATTAACTTATTACTTCTTCCTATGATTAATGGCACCAGTGTTAGTAGTAGTAACCTTTATGACTCATGATATCTTATATTTTTGTATTGTTTATTATAACAGTGTGGTTACTAACTCTGTTGTCTTTTGATGGTAGTAGCCTTTGCACAATAGTTTCTAGCTTCAGTAGGTTTTGTTTTACAAATAAGCTAATTTTGACCTTGATTTGAATAAATTTCCATGATTTCTGATTGGTGGCAAGAGTGAATACGTAATGAGCTGATTCATATATGATTGAATTTATTTACATAAAGATTTATTCACACATGTATTATACACATGCACAAGTATGCAATGGGTTGCTCACTTATTCAACCAGTATAGTGATAGAAATAATATGATGAATGATGATTATTAGTTGCGTAGATATGTATGTCTATACTGATGACATTTATGATAATGTACAAGATCATGGTACTGTTTTTTTATGTCTCTTGATAGTCCGATATGACCAATTCTGAATAGTATCTGTGTTTTGAAAGTCTCAAAAACCCTGTATTGTAGTTTGTTTGATAGAATATTTAGTCATACATATGTAATAAATTTAAACTTTTTAATTCATTGAAATCATAAACCGATCTAAGTTAGACAATCATTGAAAACCTAGTAACACTGGACTGTCGTTTCGTCCCAGTATGGGACTCAGCAATGAGCATCCACATCTCCGCATACGGGAATCAAACCCAAGAAATTTGGTTTTAACCTGTAAACCATTGAGCCGGCATCTAACTGCGATCCATAACTTTTACTTTATGCTTTTTACACTAACTAAACCACGACTAAATCTATTTAAATTGAAATAGTACTGGAATTTTTTTCAACAGAGTATACATCAATTCAAACTTTAAGATATAACCAAGAATCTCTGTAATCAGGTCCTGATTAATTGGCTTTTCCTTCAGTTGACTATAAAATATGTATCTATGGAATACTAACGTTTTACCATTCGTTATTTGTAGTACCAATTTTATGATGAAGACGACACAATGTCTTTTTGATTTTGAAATATTTCTTAATTAAACTTTTGAACAAAAAAATATAGAAAATGAATGCTTGTTTGATTAAATACAAATAGTTACGCGTATAGGTTTTTTCAGTAATATCAACCCATTCCATTACTAAACAGGTTTATATTGTCTTGTATTCTATTTAAAATGTAAAAAAATTAATGTAACTCTCGAACCAAATCGCAATCGGTTTTGAGTAACACGTTTTACGATGCTTTCTACGCACCACAGTCTAAATTAGATGGATAGGAATTCGAACCTGTATTCAAATGGCTAAAAGCTCAGTATTTTGGCCACTGTACTACCTTACTACACTTGTCTCTGTTATCCAGGAAAAACATGAATTCGCACTTACTGGTTTTCAGTCAGTGATTGTATGTCAATAAAAGAGAGATAAGGACATTAGCAAAGAACATTGTGTATTAATATGCATTACTGCACAACTGTAAGGGATTACACCCGTAAACTGAGGACAGTAACACAAACAAATGGAAAACAAATAATTAAAAGAGATATTTTGGAGATTTACAAGAAAATAATTAGTAAATGTGTATGCATCTTTGCTACCCATTTCAAATTTATTACTGATTACGCGCGTATTACTATACAGAAAGTTATTACTGCTCCACTTGAATTAGGCTAACATTCGGTAATTTATTTTCTTAATGTCGTGACTTGACCTAATAACCGTTAATTTTTTGTTAAACTCAGTCCTACATCTATCATCATTCCTGGTCTTGGTTGAGCTATGTGTAACCTCTGTATTAGACACTTCAATCTAAATACTTTTGCAATGTAATCGACTGATTCACCATGTCATAAACATCCCTAACTACATTAACGTTGATTCTGGTCAAACAGTTCTAACCGAAATAGGATCTGGAACAAATGTGTGCAGATCCTACTTGTTAGGTTTCGTATTAGCAAAACAAAAAAGCATTAAATAAATGAGACATTCTATCAACGGGATACATTCAGATCCTAGCATCAAAATACCTACTGACAGTTAAACTTACATACTTATTCTCTAGGGAATAATATACTTTATAACTCAGGTTAGTCTGTGAAGTTTAGAAATTTCCTATCTGAACGTCGTGTGTTAGTAATAATTTCCAATGCTATATGCTAAAAAGTCACCTTACATATGCACATACACATCTCGAAGGTTATTTGTTTTCTTACATATAAGTTTTCTTTAAAATGTTTAGTTCCTCCTTTTTTTGTTTCCCTAGGTAATCATTATGGTACACCTCGTCCAGACCCTAATTCTACCGCTTTAGATCCTGTGTTTTTAGAACAATTCCAATTATCCTCTACAGACATTTCACAAATCAGTGATGATGCATGTAGGATCCCACCGCCATTGGCACCACTAAGCTCATTTAATACATTTGCAATGCATGCTAGCACTACCACTACTGTTTCGGGGATTAATGGCAGTAACATTACTACTACCAGTAGTAGTAGTAGCAGCAGTAATAATAACTCTAGTATTGGTGTAAAATTAAATGATCCATTACAACAATTACCAACATGTTCTCCACCACCGCCTCCACCAATTCGCAATTCATCAATTACAAAAAATTCCAATATTGTCTGTAATAATAATAATATTAATCATGGTAAAGCATCGACTAATCTGCTAACTTTATGCACAACTGAAAATTATCTGACAAAAACAATCGATAACAACAATAACAATACACAGTTAAATGGATTAAATGAATTGAATGGTAAATTATACCTACCACGTCCAAAATTTTCGAATGATGAAGCTAGTCTATGGTCATCTAGTGAAATACATCTAGTGGATGATCATAAAACAATCGCGTTGTCCACAGCATCAACAACAATGTCAGTTGCTGCTAATGCTATTACTATTACAACTACTACCAATACTAACACTACTAATATGAATACTACTACTATGTCTAACCATGTCAATACGTCGATGACCAATGGTTGTTCACTCATTGAAAGTGTAAGTATATATGTATTATGATGTGTAATTGTTTTTTACTAGACATTGCTTTGTACAGTTTTTTTTCTTTTCTAATAATTATTTTAATTTCATTCACCGTTAGTCATCAACATTAGTACTTCGATAGTTGAAGCACTGTCGTTTCAGTCTATAATTTGTAAACTCATTTATTTTGACCATTAGATCTCGCACAAATAGTGTGTAGCTTAAAACCGAGTATATATAGATCTATACTTGGTATAAATGAGTTATATAAATATTGTTTAGATCTGGTACATATTTATATCAGTCCGAGTTAGTGTATCTCCCATCATATCTACTAAAGAGGCAATTAACGCAATTTAAAATATAACGAAGTCAATATACATGAAAGTAATATCATTTGTAATGGAAAAAATGAAAGAAGAACATATGCGAACATTGAAGAATTGATAAGTATAAAAAATATTTGATATCTAGATTTAGTTCAAGTGGTATCACTACTTCAGGTCAAAAATAATAGCATAAGATCATTCTATGAAATTCAACTAAAGATGTATGTTTCTCCTAACATTGTTTAGTGAAATAGTAAATGACTTCATGTATTGGTTCTGTGTTTAGACCTAACCGTCGCTTAGCGTTCTGACAATCTATCCCACTAGATAGACAGTGTATAGTAGCAGATAATCAGTCCTTTCTGATTTTTCATGGCTCATAAAGATTTCATTTCATGAATTTTCTTAAATAGGATAACTACTTATTATATTACTTCGGGTTACATAGTGGTTCTGTGCCTCATGTTATCTATGATTGAATGTTTATTTAAACAGTAAGCGTTTCCACCATATTGTAGTTGAAGTCTTACTTTAGCCTATAATATTAACAGAATTTTAGGGGACATGACTTATGCAGTGTACAGTATTTGTGTTGAAGTCCAAAATTCCCCATCCATAAGACAGTAACAATCAATATCTCGGAGAGGTCCTGAAAAACAGGTAGCTCCGCTTAAGAAATATCTTTTTTAGGCTATATAATTACTTTTTTATCAATATTTCTGTGCAGTATGCTTGTCACTTGCAATGATATGTCACACTAGACGTGTTATCTTGATTGTTGGCTGAGAAGTCATAAATGTACTTTACTTTATTGAAAATTAGTCTAAGATTCTATGAAATCTGAATAAAGATTGACAGATTTAGATGTAAAGTGATCAATGCTAAAGTACTTTCTTAACAGAAAGACGATAAAAAAAGTAGCTTAGATGTCCATATCTAGTTGAAATAAGTAAAAGCTAAAAATTAATATGAATTGGGGGGAGACTGGAAGGATTAAGCAACCGGTTACTAACCAAATGTAGACGAATAAATACCAAACTTGGTTTGTGTGTGTGTAAATGTTTGCGCATATGTGAGTAAGTCAAGATTTCGCTATAATGATCACGTTTGGGAATCGTTTAAATCTGATGAATATAATGGTTTTTCTCTACTTAACACACATACTGGTACAACTGGCCACCAAAAATATCTTCCATATACAAAATAAAAAGATAACGTTGTAAAGAAACAAAAGAGGCTAAAGAAATAAGGTTGGAGGTAAAACTGAACGTAAATGAGATGTAATGGGTGAAATAGTTCCTTTAAAAACACAACCAAGAAATGTTTCTTTCTCTTAACGGAATTTCTTTCACTTTTATGAAGAGTGTAAAAAGGCTACATCGTACCACAATTCGATTCCATAAACTGACCACCTCTTCAATTTTTATATACCGTCCCAGTGTCACCAACTAACACTCAATAGAGAAGTCACTGGGATGAAAGTAGTATAGTTGTCATATACATATGAAATATCCGACTAAAATTACGTTTAATATGGATAATTTGTCAGTTAACAAATGAATGAATAATCAAAGGTGAGAATGCAAGGCTATACAATCAACAGTGATTACTCGCTTTCGCTCGTTGTTACACTGTCATGTACAGCTATAGTTTGACTGCAACTAGTTATAGTGTTAAGGGATGAAAAACTTTTGTCTTTAAATAATTAGTTTCACTTTGGATTGTTTTCGTTTTATTTTACTGTGAATATTGGAACATTTTATGCAATTAAAACTTATGTACATTTTTGAATATCTTTCCGATTGTTATCAACTTATTTGGCACTCACATTGTAAATGTTAACTTTCAGGTTTAAACTCTCGCCTTATCTACTTCAGTTTGAATAAAGGGTTGGTATTATTAACCATTACACAAAAAATATCGTTTAAAACCGATTACTTGTAGCTATATTTTGTTACTGTCGTTATATTTCAAGCAAAAAATCAAAACTTTCAACTCTTAACTAGTGTAAGTACACAACCTATCCCATATACTTCGGTTTGGATTTTAGGATAGTAATGTTTAATTAACCTTTACCCAGATAGGTGTGGTCTTAAATCAAGCACACAAATCTATAGTTGGTTACTTAGCTACTGCTAATTGATAAAAATCACAGACACACACATCCAGTCATATCTCTCCACTCACTTTTACGAAAATTTTATACAAATCCTCTGATTAATAAATCATGACTTGTCTACTATTCACTTACATTTATTATGGTTCGATGGCGTGCAAGAATATATATATATATATATATATATATATATATATATATATATATATATATATATATATTTCATATATTTCCATTCATTATTTGTTTTACATAGCTACTTCGTCATCGGCTTAGTTGATTTCTCTACTACGGTTTCATTTCTTGTCTTCATTTGGCTTCCTTCTTTTTTATTTATCAATAGTTATGTTGTTTATAGCTAACTAATTCTACACTTTAAAAGTTTAATTATTACTACAATTTTCTATATCTTTCAGAGCCCTTATTTTTTCCTTTTTACTTCTGCTTTTTCCCCTTTCTCGCCTATGCACATCGATTTGTCTGACATTTTTATCATCAGTATCGGTATCAGATTTTTTTCTCCTGTTTTTTGATTTAAGTGACTTTCTTGTCTAGATATTTACCATTTAACTATGTTAACATATTCGTACATATACACTATTATTATTATTATTATTACAGTTTTTTCTTCTAACTGGACTGTATTACTTTCCCTGTGTCTGCTTATTTGTTTGTATTTGGGCACATATATATATATATATATATATATATATATATATATATATATATATATATATATATATATAAACAGTCGGTGTATAATTACGAATACAAAAAGAACACAAACTTCAACAGTCATGTTGTCGAGTATTACTTGTGAGAAGACATTAGCATTAGTAGTGTCTGTTATGTTACAATTTTGGAAAAATATAATGCCCTTAGATAGACTGTATTATGTGTTATACATTTATGTCAATGATTGGAATGTTTTTAGTCGTAGGTCCTGGCACAAATTTGTATCGGTCCAATTTTTCATCCTGCATCAACATGGCGAGGTGGAGCACACCCTGATGACTTAATCAAGCTATATTGTCTCGAAGATTTAATATCTTTACATCTTACCATCCCAATCAAGTCAGATAGGGAACAGAAAGAATAAAAGCAGAAACTTTAAATCCGAGAGTGGAGTCGTGCTGCCAACTGTTCAGGAGCGTGATAACAGGAAAGTGTTTCCCTTAGATAGCCAGCATGTGCAGTCGTACTCTTTCCTATAACGAAAGGAGGGGGTTAGAAAAGATAGACCCTGAAAAGATACTTTACCTTGTCCTACGGATTTCTGTCATTCTCAGTGAGGCCTTCAAAGTACGAAGTCAACACATCAAGAACTACTCTAGGAAAGTCTATGTGTATCCAAACTCATGTAGTTGTTCCTTGAGTTCCGAGGTCATGCTCTCAGGTCGTCAAGTTTATATCTGTCCCAGTTTCTTTTACAGGCACTCTAACAAGAAGTCTTTATTCATATACATAATTATTCGATTCGATTATTCACCTTCCTGTTACATAACACGCACATGCACACAAAACTTTCTTCTGTTACCGATCAAACTATCATAAATTACAACGTGGAAAAGTTATGTTGGTAATTTTTTCGTCTGGCTAAGTGAAATTCATTACAAGACCTGGAGAAAAACAGTTAATTGTAATCTCTATACATTTGTACTTATATATATATATATATATATATATATATATATATATATATATATATATATATATATATATATATATTCTTATTGGCGTTCAGTAATAATTTTTTGTGCAATTAACTCGGTATATGTTAACTGATGAATAAATAGACGCAGATACAGAATCGTAAAATCTGTTTCATTTTCTAAATACTTTTTGTTCTTTTACCTAGATGTAATATTTCTGTCAATGAATTGATAAGAATTTATACTGTTAAGATTATGTTAAATATTTTAATTGACTACTGTTACTAGTATGTGTATAAAACGAAGGAGATAGTGTATAGCTTCAGAAAGAAGTTATCAGAATAGTGTGACATTTCGACAATTGTCAATAAATGCTTCCAGGTGCATTATGATACATGTTGAACTTCAACCACAAATAAATACATGATAAATAATGTTCTGAATAGGTTAAAAATAAAATTTTTGATGCCCAAACCCAAGACATGATATCAGTTCACAAAGTCATTAACTGCTGAATTGCGTCATATTGGTAAATTTAGACCAACTAGTTGGGGTCTATGCAATCCATGGTTTAATATACATCACAATGACTCAGATAAATTTATTCTTTATCTTAACATAAACACTGAGCTTCAGTATCATTTCGTATTTTATATCCCTTGGAATCATCCCTTTTCTGATGTTTAGTCTGTTTCACTTACTATCATTCTGTTTCGGTACTTATTTTGTAAATTTCCTCGCCCGTATTCATATAGTAAGGGCTCTTGAAACGATTCATATCCGTATCAGGCCTTACATTAATTATAACTGACTGACATATTTGTCAAGTCCTTACATTGTTTGTGACTGACTGGTTCATTTTGAAGAACTAATCTAACCTTTAAACAGCATAATCAATTTTCGGAAACTGTTTAGTGGATTTCAGTATTAGTTAATGGATTGCTTATAAACTTCTATGTAAAATTAACAGTAGAGTTTACACGGTATTATATAACAGATACTGTTTTTTTTTCTTCGATGAGCAGTTAGCTATTATAAATATCAATGAAAGGACAACAATAATTGCACACCTAAGACTATATGCAAATACTCATGCTTTTTCGCACATTTCGTCTACTTTAGACATTTAAACATAACAATAACGACAATATATGCAGAATACAATGAATTCATTGTATTTTCTTGTCTCCTCTTCAGATACATACAAGCTAATAGGTTTAATTAACTTCAATTATTAACGCAATTTGTATACGTTTGTATAGATATCGATGATTTCATCGTGCCATGGATAAATGTTTTCTATAGACAACCGACACCTCCATCGATGCTGCATCCTCAAAACGGAAAGCAAGGTTCAAATTTAGTCGACCATAAATAAAACACACCTCACTTTGCCCCATGGATTTCTGTCGTTGATAGTATTATCCGAATGCCGTGGAGATAACTCATCTTAAAGTACGCACAAAATATTCGTTTGTGATTGGTCTCAACTGGTTGTCTCTCCAGTTTAAACTGGAATTTTGATTTGGTTATTTATTCTCTGAAGAAGTGGCTTACACTGAGTCACGAAACGCCAGTAAATCTAATTTTCCTACTCACCGGGACATTACAAATATATTATTTTATTCAAAAAGTAAATACTTCATTTGCAAAATGTCAATCGATCGTCTCAGACTTCATTGTTCCACACCAATCATTCTTTGTTCTCGTTCTCTTTTCTTCAATCTTCCTAACCTTCTGCCTTCAGGCATTTCACTCTCAATTGATGGTACATACTCCTTATATTTATCGACATCAGTAGCACACACCACAACCTAACTACAGTGGCTAGTATACCTGCTCCCTGAGGTTCTACTATCTGACTCAAGTCGGTTGACTAATAGTGAAACTAAAAACATCAAATCTAATGTACGAGTGCAAATGCGAACGGCCAACAATATTACAGCAAGATGTTTCCCATAAATAACTGGAGTCTCTAGCGATATTGTTTGTATGCACGCATAGTATTGCATAAACAATTTTCAAATATAATTCGACTTCTTACATCTTTTTCTTGTAAAGTGATTTTAAATCATCTCATACTTTGTACATCGTATTTCGTGCATGTGCTTTTTCATTTGGATCTTTGTTTAAATAAAGTCTATTTTCCTCTTCTAGTCAATTTCACTTTCAGATTGTTTTTTTTTCTTTGGTCCCCATTATTCCCTGTACTGGCTTCTTTCTTTTTAAACTTTTTGCCATCCCCTCTACATTCATATACACTTAATAATAGAGATACAAGTTATAAGAGAATGAGAGGAAGGACGACAGGTATTTGCGTTAAGCAGCTGAAATATTGATTAATTTTAAGTTTACATATTTTACAGAAGAATCTATTGGGTGGAGATAATAAACAGTAATGAGTTTATCATTTTTATAATACAGACAGATTAAACCTCTAAATTGAAGCTATCATCATAAATTGTCTATTTTAAGTTGACCTGTTTAACATGTCGATAAAACACACACTTGTTTATGCAAAGAGAAAGCAATACCAACAAAAATGTTTGAACTAAGCCATTTAGAAGAAAGAGTTGAGTAGACTGTAAGCTAATGTATTCTATAGGCCAATAAAGTTAAATATATTCCAGTGGATGATTGTTCGGAATCTTCAACAATAAACAATTAAATTCGAAATTTAAGTTAATAGTAGTATTTGTGATTGTCGACAAAGACTAAATAGAAGACATGGTTGGAAATGAAAGAGTGTATTCATGAAGTAAACAGTATTTCATAATCAATTAAACTGGGAATCTTGCGCAAAATGTAGAGTGAATACATGTGTTTCTGCAATCGATTCTGACCCATATCACCCAGCATTTAACCATTGATCATTATTATTGTAGTCTACAACTACTAATACAGATCAGGCCAGTAGTTAATACTTTCTTGGACTGGTAACACTTTGTATGGCTGCTTTGTAGCTTTCTTCCTATATACTTCAATGCTAGCCAAGATTGTGCATTGAGGTAAGCGTTAGTTAGATTTAAGTAACACATGTACCACCATCCATTTAAGTTAGGAGTATACACTTACTCATTGGTGCACAACATAACCGTGTGAGTATCTTACATTTTTATGCAAAGCACGAAAAGTATAATTTGACTCTGTGATTTACTGCTTTGATCATTAAATCCCCACTACTCCACCTTCACATAAGTACAATATATCAAAACAGTGCATTAACCCTGACAAACACTTGGTAAATCAGTTAAATTCGTATATATATTATCTGATTCACTGTGTATACAATTTTTATTTTCCCAATATAGTTAATTATGCTTATCGTTGTTTTGTGGGTTGTTTTTTTTTAAAAAAAATTGTTTCTATTAGTTCTGTGACCAAACAGCTTATTCAGTGGATAAATTAGATCAAATTGGTGAACATGTATTACCATATGGTTGGGAAATTGTACAAGATATAAAATATGGTACATTTTACATTGATCATATCAATAAACATACACAATATGAACCGCCAACAGTTGAAGATTTTCAATTAGGTGAAAAAGTACGCATGAAGTATTTATCACAATTCGATACAATTCATCACAAAACTAAAACTAATACTACTATCAATAGTAATCATAGTATTGTCAAAAACGTAAATAATAATGTTAACGCCAATAATAATCATGATGATGGACAGAATGAATTAGGCTCATCATCCATTAATGATAATGGACGTATAACTCCTGTGACATTTTGTTCCGATTTAAAACAATTACGAGGTCCAATGATTAATACAGTTTTAGTGAAAAGTCCACGTGGTTTTGGATTCACAATTATCGGTGGTTCTGATTGTAATCGATCGGCATTTTTACAAGTACGTTTATCATTGAATTGATTTGTATTGTTTATTTGGGTAACGCATTTTAAAAGGAATTTTCTTTGTTATTATTCAAAGATTACCTTATTCATTGAACTGCAATATGTTGGTCTAGCGAAAGTGCTATCACTACGAGACCTAGATTAATTCTCTGACGTGATCATGTATACGTACTGATGAGAAGCCTCAAACTAAGACGAAAAAGCTGTCTAGTGCCAACTTCGTGTAGTTCGTTCTTGTCATCCCACTGATCGTTTCTGTTCATCTACGATACATGTTTCTTTGGAGCCTTGTTTAGTACTCCAAATAGTTAAAACACTTACTTCATAGTCAGTTCCTAGATTCCAGAAAATCCATAACTATTGGATTCTCAAACAAATTAATAGTTGAAAATACACTTACGCCTGTTAGTCCCCGTGGAGGATCATAGGCCGCCCACCAGCATTCTCCATCCAACTCTGTCCTTGACAATCCTTTCTACTTGTTTCCAGTTGTTATTCATTCTTTAGATGTCTGCTTCTAATTCCAGACTCAGTGTGTTCATTGGTCTTCCTCTTTCCATTTTCCCTTCAGTATTTCAAATTAGCGCTTGCTTCATGATGCAGTTTGATGATTCCCTCAATGTGTTTCCTATCCACTTCCAACGTCTTTTCCTAATTTCCTCTTAAATTGGAAGCTGGTTTGTTCTCTTTCACAGTAGGCTGTTGCAGATGGTATCCGACCAACGGACATTGAATATTTTGAGTAGATAACTGTTTATAAGTACTTGCAATTTTTTAATGATTGTTGTAGTCGTTCTCCAAATTTCAGCTCCGTACAGTCATACTATCTTGACTTTCGTATTGAAGATTCTGACTTCGATATTGGTTGACAGTTGTTTTGAGTCCCATATGTTCTTCAACTGGTGTGAATTCAGTAATTATTATTTTCAAAATATATTATTACTAAATGTAAGAATGCGGCACTTGGCTTTGTCAATCAGTGGCTTCATATCTACATCAGGTCCTCCACGTTCATCGATGATGTTCCATTAAGTGTGATTGGGTTGATGTTCTCTGTGTTGTATTTGAGGATCTTGGTTTTTCGCTTGTGTATGTTGAGGCTTACTGATGCAGAGGCTACTGCTACACTGAATGTCTTCACCTACCTAGTACATGACACGTGTATTTATTCAATTAAAATCGTAGCGATTATAGTAATAATAATAGGGATAATATCACAACAATAAAACGGAAGTATGCGATTGAATAATTAATTATTTATTTGATTTCATTTGGTTTTATTGATATTGCCAGTTATTTTTACATCTGATCCTTGACATTTTATTTATTAAATCTCATTCTACAGAAAACAAACAAACAAATATCATTTATAATTAACGTGAATATGATCTGGATATTTATCACATTAGTTTTTATGATCATTATTATTTTATTTATGTTCATTTTGTTACTTTAATGTATGTATGTGAATACATAAATATTTCATTGTCCTTAAATGAGATAATTAGGAATGAAAAGATTCTGTTTATTATAGTCATTCCATAATTTCTATACTTATGACAATTGTTTATTTATTATTACCGCATTAATTAATGTTATATATGTATCAGGTATAGTTTTATGCGAATAATTTAAGTGTTGAACTTTTAAGTATTAAATCGTAGGTTCGAGTCCTGTTCCATCTATTTTTTGGCTTACGGAACCTGGTAGTATTACTAGCCATCACCTATTGAACGTATGAATGGAAGTCAAGTCTATGTATTTGTACCTGGCAAATGAATTAATAATGGTTTATGATATTGATTTAAAGCTACACCATTGATTATGTGAAGTATTAGTTGGTTGACCAATGAGGAAAGGAATATGAACTTCTGACTTAGTGTATGCGATATAGCATCTCGAACTGCAAACTTTTTCTTGTCATTCACTGCAAAAGATATGAACACATAGTTAAAATAAATTGCTAATAACACATACATCGGTCAAGATAATTCAAACAATAAAAGTCGTCACAAATCTTTATAGTCTGTGTTATCACTAGTATACTTAATTAACTTCAGTTTTTCGTTAGCAACAGTATTTAAACATTGAATTAAACTCTCAATTATTACCAAACAGAACCATACTTAATAATTACTGTCAGTGTGTTATATCATTGATCGTAATGGTGTTATGGTCAGAGTCCCTATAAAAATTACATCAAGACAACTCGTTAAACCGGCTCATTTAAGTTGCATGTATCATCACACAAATGTTTGTCATTCGCAATTCTTGAATTTCACATGAGCACAAACACAGCAGAAATTAGCACGATAAAGAACGTGAAATAATTAAACATGCAAAATGCAGTTTATATCTTTCTATGATCCTTTTATTGCATGTAACAAAACAAAAGACTAAATACATCGATTTGCCTCTGTATTTTATCTTTTACATTCAACACTTTGTTGTTGTTCCCGATTACCGATGAAATTAGCAATATTTTCTTTAGACTGTTTTCACTTATCTTGGAAGTCTGATCAGCCCTAGTGGGTTGGTGTCTGACGAAATCTCAGCACGGATTCGAAAAGCTCGTTTGGCTTTCGCCAACTTACGTCACCTATGGCGAAGGCGAGATATCCGCTTATCAATTAAGAGACGAGTATACTGCGCGGCAGTTCGTTCTGTTCTACTTTACGGCTGCGAAACGTGGCCATTAAGGGTGGAAGATACTCGTAAGCTACTAGTATTTGACCACAGATGTCTTAAAAATATTGCTGGTATCTGCTGGGATCACCAGGTAAGCAATAGTGAGGTTAAACGCAGGGTATTAGGGAATGATGGTAAATCAGTTGATGAGGTTATGAGTCTTCATCGACTGAGATGGCTGGGTCACGTGTTGCGTATGCCTGAACACCGATTACCACGACGCGCAATGCTAACTAGTGTAGGGGATGGTTGGGAGAAAGTTAGGGGCGGCCAAACAAAAAAGGGCATCAGTGCTTGAAGTCACTAACTTCTGGTCTGAGCCATGTTGTAAGATGTAGACTGCCTGGTTGGGGTCCGCGTGACTATCGTAACCAATGGTTGGAAACTGTGTGATATGACTCAGAATCGTTCATAATGGCATACGTGTATATACTCTTTGTCTTCCCTTAAACAGTGAGATTAAAATGGTTTGTGCCTTCTTTTCTACTAACTAATTCTTCCTGAACTATGTCTTTATATACAATCTTTCTTTTATGTATTACCACCATTGAATTAACTACTATTAATCCGTTGTTCGTCTTGCTGTGCTAATGAGGTGTGGCAACGTGAACCGATGCATGTATGTGCCTGGTCCTTCGTTGTAACTGACTGACTGTCTGATTTGTATACACTTTTTCTTTTGACTAAGGATTTTTATTTTACGTAATATGTTTGAGTATTGAAATAAATTGTATGTATACCCATAGGGATTAACATTACCATAGTAACACTGAACTGAATAATGAATAGAAAGATTGTACCGAAGAAAATCACTCATTAGACTACACTTGAAATAACGATAACTTGCATTATGGTCAGTTAAACGATGAAATTCTTCCCTATTATGGGTTAAAATTACAACCCAACTGTTTGGTGAAATAGGATCTAATTGAAACTCAAGTAGTGAATAATTACATCCACATCGACCGATTTGTGCTGAATGTGAATCTGTATTTATTCTACACACTATTTGTTGGGATTTATGTCTGGTCGAAGTTTTCGACATTTTCCTTGCTTAGACAAACAATTTAAAAATATCACAATTATCATTCTCATAACTCGAAAACATGCGATTAATATTTGTGCTTGTATAGAACGAGTACATCTCATGATATTTACTTTCTTAGTGACTTTTCTGTTGCAAAGAAACATGTTCACAATTGAGATCATTGTGGATAGATGAATATACGACATTTTACTCAATTTCCATTTAGTCGATTCTCTCACACCATATAGGCAGTCAGAAAAGATAGTTAACCTATGAAAGTCAAGCGAACAGTCAAGTGATTTACGTTTATGGAAAATGATTGTGTGGAGTTTTCGTACAATCAGTAACAATTAGTAACTTCTCATTATGAATTGACATTACCTGAAAAGCGATTGAAAATGATAAAAAACTGGACAACTGTTTCATTTTTGTTTGAGACTTTTCTTAACAGTATACAACCACTGATCGACATTAGATCAGATCTAGAGTATTTGAGTTTCACGAAGAAAACAACATTACATTCAACCAGTAAACTGGTGTTTAATAGAAGAGATATTCAAATTTAGTTTACAATATTGTTCGTAGAAATAAAACCTACAGATGGAAATCGATCTTCGCAAAATACATTTAACTAAATTCGCTGAACAAATGTATTGTAGAGCAATGTATTTATAGTTCACGTACTTGACTCTCACCTACTTTATTGTAGATTGGTATCCTACGTCATTTACTTTGAATTGAACACTGAATTAGCACCCGTAACATCTAAATTACAGTATAAATCCAAGTACATAGATTCTATGCTTAGTAAATAAGTCTTAGAAAATTATCTGCTTCTGAATATAGTCACTATCTAGTGATTTATTACCATTATATTCCTTTATTTCTTTAATATATTTACTGATTATTTAGGTGAAACATCTTGTCCCAGGTGGTCCAGCTTCATTGAATAGCCAATTAGCTGTTGGTGATGTTATGGTTAGTGTGAATGGGACGAATGTTCTCGGTTATACACATTCTCAATTAGTATCATTATTCCAGTCAATCCCAGTTGGAGCTAGTATTAATTTACTAGTGTCGCAAGGTTATCGATTACGGAGAGAAATTGGTGGTGATCCGCCAACACATTTTAATGGTTCAGTATCCGGTAATCATCTTGGTGCGACAGGTTTTGTATCCGGTGTAATTGACATTTCTGCTCAGGTAAATAGATGAGTTACCAATGTTTACCATGTTTTATTTGTTTTCAGAAGTTCATTTTATTCCATACAGCATTCGGCGTTATAAATTCGTTTTCTTCAACATGAATTCATACAATGAAACTCTGCCGTATACGTTACACTAAACGAACTAACGATAATGTAAAGAAATCGAAAAAGGGATGAGAAGTCATGAATTATCAAGGAGTACAGTTTTAAAACATAACTTAAATCGATTTCATCCATTTCAAAGAATACAAAGACAGTTCACAACACAATAATCGCTGATCTCTGCTAGAACATGGCTGTGAAAATCTGATGCCACTCATTTCTACAATTTTCCAATGGACACATCTACATAACTATTCTTGATCCTATGTTTGTGTCCAAAACTAACCGCCAGAATCAGCGAGCAAAAGGGATAACGAAAGTCTATAGGACGGTGTACATGTAACTCACCAAGCAATTTTTTGAGAGGACCACCCTCGAATCTGGAAGTTTAATTCTCGGAAAAGTTTAGAGATGTCACGAAATTCTGTTCATACTTCATTTGATGCATCAGGTTCATTGATTCTTCGTTCACTGTAAATCTAAAAGTTTGTGTAACTTTTTAAAGTGAACGCTGTAATTACCAGTTGGCTTTCATCCTTAGGCATTTTCTTTCACCCCCTCCTTTTTACCAACATATCTCTGCCATTTAAAAACCATGGATTAAGTATCTTTGAAAAATGTTTGAAGCGGACGGCCATATGAGACCATTACAAGTAAAAGTAAATTCCTCTTACTGAAAATTTATTTATTATTTACAGGTGATACAGAGTATTAGTCTCCACACTGTGTGACTGCTCCACAATCGACTAACTCATTTTGTTTCATATCACTGGCTTTATTATCTGTGTTTCCATGCTTTATTCTACGAATGGAGCCACAAAATTGGGTCTCTAGTAATCAAGTTGTTAACTGCACAGAGCGTTTTCTGAATTTATATATACTCGCCCTTTATAATTTGATTGTAATTCAGATGTTTGTCTTTTTGACTATCTCTTTCCATTTCCTTCTATTCAATTGTGTTTTGGTCTTAGTATCACTGTCGTTTTTTTTCATGTATTGTTAAATACTTACTTTTCGTCCCCCACTTTTTACCTGTAGAATACTTTAAACAATCTGAAACTTGGTGAGGATACGTTAGATAATCTACCATTGACGGAGTTACATGTAGTTAATTCATCAAGAAATTCCGGTGTAATCTCTTCACATTCTTCGATTTCACCAACACCACCGCCATCAGCATCATCATCGTCTAATAATGGTAACTCATCTCAAGAGCTACTTGCAGTACGTTCTAGTCCATCCAATTTAAATAGTGGTATCTGTGTTGGAAAGTTGCGTAATTCACAGAGACCAGAATTTTTAAAGGTAATTGATATTTGAATCGGTGTTATTATTATTGGTAATTTTCATCTTGCCAAAACATCAATTTCTCCAGTTCTATTCTATTATTACACGTTAGTACTCTTTCCAATAGGGTAGCATCGATGATATTTTTCTTAATTCATACTTTTACAAGAACTTCTGTTGCTACCCGATTGATTTCTATCGCTTTTAGTTTGCCAAGTTTGTTATGTATCCCAAGATCAATGTTTTTTACTAAATAGACAGAGATGTTTCTCTTGAAATATGACTTCTTTTTAGAAGAAACAGTTATCGTATAGGTATTGTCTTCTCTGTTAACTTTTGGATTATTAGAATTGAATTGTCATCATGTGATAGACATCCGGTTTATTCGAGTTGCTCTCTGCTACCTCATATTGGAATAACCCTTAATCGTTTGTAAATAGATTTCACCGTAAGCCAACTGGAACCTCATTATGTCAATTGTTCTTGTTAAGATATAAAAGATCTGGGAAATTTATCTTTTATAATTCTAATGAAATGCTTAAATTTCTGAATGAATTTTTCTTAAGTTGTCTGCCAACTTGAACCGATGTACATACATACAAGTTCTATATTGTGACTGGCTGAAGAGGCGTGAAGGGTTAAGTTCTCTTTGGGATACTTAAAGATCCTATGTCTAGTGCTTGGACGAAATGGCTTTTGAGTGCTTCGTAATTTTCAATAATCCATTAACTGATTTCTAATATCAATTAATTTTCTGTCTTTTTATGAAAAAAATGTTTATGGATTCTCGAAACTTATTAAGTTTTTATGCCGCATCTTAGGAATGATATTAAAAAAGTTGATTATACTTACCATTACTGTCAAATATAGTACAAATACTATTGAGCTTCAATGATCTTGAGGCATCAATATCCCTTTCTAACCAATAAGTGCACAGTTACACCAAGTAGTAAATTATTTACTCACGAGTGATAAACCTGAATTACTTGTGATATATTTTTGTACTTCATGGTTTTTTTTTGCAGCTTACGATCACTTTTTCGATCTTCAAATCAAAATATATCCTACATAAAAATGTATCTGTATGACTGTTGGAATTCTTTTACACATGAGTATCAATAAATTTTTAACTTCACACAACATCTACATTAATTTTGTGTTCACTTTTAACAAAATTACGCTGGTGGGTAACATTTTGCTGATAATTTCTAAATCTCTTTAAATATGACTGCTTGTCAATAGTACTTACTATCTAGTGCATCACTAATAATTCGATTTGATTGGGTGCAAATTTTTCAGTCAGAAAAATCTTATCATTTCATGTCGCTTTACATTATCAACACACATATGCCTATCAGTTTATTTAAACTGTCATATTACACGATAATATAGTAGACTCGTTACTATTGGTCCCCTATGTTCTAAGTACTTTTTGATGGTATCATCTTCGGGATATTTTATTAAGCTATCCAAATTCAAAAGGTTTTTCTAAGTTTATATCAAGAATCTGAAGACAACTACCCTAAATCTGATTGATGTCATAAGATATGGTATTGAATGACTAACCCTATGCCTAACCTTCCTCTTTTACCCCAGATCGGGACAGACAGTAACTCTAGAGGGGTCTTCAGTCGTTTTCCAATATCGTAGGTATCGATGAATTGGAGCAAACTAAGCAAATAAGAATTGTTGGCAAATGACCACCCAATTTGATCAATATAAATATTGATTTTTACATCTAAACTTCGTGAATTCGTATCTTACCACGTTTACAACTACTTTTCGAAGAAAATTTTCACGTTTTAAGAATAATATTAAAATGTTAACATTTTCATGTTGATTTACTTTTGAAGTTTTATTTTGATTTGAAATCGCGAATTGATATTACTTGGAAAACCATTGATCTCAACTATATCGAGAATAGGACATGCATCACTGAATGCCTCGAGTGATGTTGGTAGCTCAGTATCATGAATTGAATAAAATTAGATGTGTAAACTTGGTCAATTTCTGAACTCACTAGTCTAAAAAGTAGTTCACTTTCTACCCACGAGGCTTCTTTATTTTTTATTTGACTTCTAGTATGTTGGAGAGTCTCATATTAGGATAAAGTAGTTATCTAATGCCTCCTGATTTTCAGTCGCTGTCTAGTTAAAGTCAGTTTTTGTCATAGTAGATTTCAAGTTGAACTGATCTCCATATAACTCCCATTTTAATAATTGTTTTTCTTATAAGTAGTACGTTCAGTAATTTATTTTATAATATTGCTTCTACAAGGCATACGTACATATACACAACCATGAATATATGATACTTCTTTCTATCTCCACTTAAACTAGTATGAACTAATGTTTACTCGAGTTATCCTGAAAATATATAGTTCCACTTGACCTATAAGTTTATAGTTATTAACGAATGAGATAGAGAATTAATTAGGAAAAATAGATTAAGCATATAACTCTTTCGTTTACGTTTCATCTTTCTCAAAATTGGTTTTATTGAATATTTTCCGTTAGATAATTGAATTTGAATTTGCTCAATTAATTCACATCGTGAATTATATATTTGGCTTTCTATGAATCACGAAATAGTTCATCGAAGTTTCAGAAGATATGCTTTTGATTGAGGTTATGAATCGATCAATGCTAGACCACCATTTAAAATTTGGAAGCACTGGAAGGCCGTTTCATCTTATTATGGGACTGCCGATGTAAATACGTACAGTTTCTACGTTGACTGACTGACTGAAGAGGTGTGAAGGGTTAAGTTCTCGTTAGGATACTTAAAGATCCTATGTCTAGTGCTTGGACGAAATGACTTTTGAGTACTTCCAGGTGTTTCAGTGGTTGTCTAACATTGATTGATTCACGATCTCAATCAAAGCTCAACAGTCTCCATAACATTATACTGATAAATGTGTTTTTGTTTAATTGTGAACACTGAAAACGTGACTAAAATCTTTTCTGAACATTTAATTGAATATTTTCACAGTAACTAATACAAATTAAGCTCTTATGTGGATGCTAGATCCCCAGAACATACTCGATAAATGTCTTATTCTTGTAATTTTGATATGGAAGTTTGAATTTCTTGTTTTCGCGCCAAAAGCGCCAATTTTCACCTTCACATCGCATTTCCCACTTGGGAGAACCCTAAATGTCATTGGTTCGTTGTTTCTTTTAATAAACTATTTTGTAACGCTTCCCAAAGACATTTTTATGCTGTATATGTACGCTTGAATTGAGCCACTCTCTTATTCAGGATGTCATTACTGACCAACTGCTACCATGTAGTATCATGTACGGTTTACATAATAACATATGTAACTTTTCTTAGTAGACATATTCTAGTATCTCTGAATGTAATTGTTTCAATTTCGTATGATTACATGGCACAGTTCGATCTGTAAAATCTGCTTAGGCCTTTGTTTCCTAGCAGTGACCGCCATGTTTGAATAAGTTTTTCTTACCAAAAGCCCAATTACCTAATTGATAACTACTCCTGTTTGTGATACCAAGTGACAGAAATGCAAATCAGATATTTTGGATGTAAATGATCCCTCATATAAATTAGTCAATATTGTATGACAACGTAAAAATCAGATTGTATTCTCTGTCCCAATATAATTTGTGCAGTATTAAGTAAAGTTGTGATCGTATAAGTACGATTTGGTTTTGATAAATTGAATGTCGTTATTTATTTATTATTAATTTTTATTCCGTAACAACGTAAAAATCTCTTAGCATATATTTTCAAAGGACTACTCATTTTTGTGGTGGAATAATCAAGTAGGCGGTCTGTGTTTAAAGGTAGCGGATTGAGTTGAAATGGCGAATGAATTGATGGAAATTTAAGTTATCATAGACTGTGGTGATCGGAACGTTTGTCATCAATGCCCACCTGTCCCCTGCGCAAACGTGATTTTTATTGTTCTACTGGAGCCGTGTTGTGATCAGTTTTTGTGTAGTCTCAATCTTAAAACAATGAAATACTAAGATAAAATTTAATTTTGATGCGTGATTTTTTTCTATATCTGTTTAGGTTTCAATTTTTAAACAAGCCAATGGTTTCGGCTTTACTTTAGCTGATCATATCCAAGGTCAACATGTGAAAGCTATCTCAGATCCAGTAAGATGTGGTCGCTTACGTGTTGGTGATGTTATTGTAGAAATTAATGATCAACGTGTAAAAGATATGCCACATATGGAAGTAGTTCAAATATTGAAACAATGTCCAGTTGGTAAAGAAGCAAGATTGCTTGTTCAACGTGGTGGCAAGTGTATTACATTTTATAATATACTATTGTATTACTGATTATCAGCTAAACATCTTGTATCATTTGTTTTTGGAAATTTATTGTTATCCTTAACTTGATTTCAAGTTAACTTACCAACTTATTGGTTTTGTGAACTTTTTAGTTAGTGATGATCATCAAAGTCCTCGATTCACCTTCACCATGTTACGGGTTTCAACTCTTTTGCATAAACTTCACCTTTAGATGACGAGATAATGCTACTGTAACTACCACACCTAATTCTGTACACCAAGATCACATATACAAACTAGCATTTGAATGATGAATTACATTTAGTGTTAGTAACATAATATTTTATCTTCAATTGAGACATTGTTTCGTTTTTGTCGAACTCTGATGTATTCATTATATGACGTAAATATTCCGACTCTCTTATCGTCAAGATTCATAGTTAACATTATCGATAAGGTTTTGATTAAGATTGAAATGTTTTTAAGTAATAACTTTTCCTGGACGATCTAGACTTCGCACATGATCTGGCTCTTCTATTGCACACGCAACAAAAAATACAGGAGAAGACAACCAGTGTAGCAGCAGCCTCTGCAACAGTAGGTCTTAATGTACACAAAGGGAAAAGCAAGATTCTACGATACAACGCAGCATGTACCATACAATCACAATTGACAGAGAAGATTTAGAAGATATAAAACGTTTACATATCTGGGCAGCATCATTAATGAACACGATGGATCTGATGCAAATGTGAAGGCGCGGATTGGCAAATCAAGAGCAACATATTCACAGCTGAAGAACATCTGGAACTCAAAAAAAATTGTCAACCAACACCAAGGTCATAATTTTCAATACGAATATCAAAACAGTTCTACTGTATGGAGCGGAAACTTGGAGAACTACGAAAGCCATCATCCAGAAGATACACGTGTTTATTAACAACTGTCCACTCAAAATACTTCGGATTCGTTGGCCAGACCCTATCAGCAACAACCTGTTGTAAGAGATAACAAACCATATTTCTGCAGAGGAAGAAATCTGGAAGGTGGATGGCACACACATTGAGGAAAGTACCCAACTGCGTCACAATCCAAGCCCTCACTTGGAATCATCAAGGCCAAAGGAATAGAGGAAGACCAAAGAACACATTACGCCTGGAAATGGAGATAGACATCATAAGAATGAACAACAATTGGATGGAACTAGAAAGGAATGCCCGGGACAGAGTTGGTTGGAGAATGCTGGTCGGCAGTCTATGCTCCATTGTGAGTAACTGGCATAAGTAAGTAAGTACGTTTTTAAGTAATAACTTCTGTAAGCATAGTTTATTCAATTCTCAATACTTTTAATATTCAATATACAATCAATCAGTTGATCAACCAATAAATTATTATAATCTTTTCTCTTTGTTATTCATTCAAACACTTCACTTTAAACAATGCAGTTGAATAGAAATCATTAAACATTTAATCAACTGTTTGTGTTTATGTACGTATTTACACCTAAAAAGTTTTATTCTCCGTGATTTCGCGTAACTAGATGATACATTTCTTTTTTTATGTTTATAAAGTAGACTATTCAAAATTAATTACATGACAATGTGAGTTGTTCAGTATTAAGTAATACATCAAAGGGAATCATATGACAATAATCAATGATTTAGAGCTGATAGATGTCATTAACTTCATACGTGGTTCTAAAGAAAATTACAATACCACAATTACATAATGTTGCAGTGTTTTTCTGGCGTGATTAAAGTGGAAGACAATGAAAAGTGCACTTAATTCACATTAATTGATTACCCTTTTTTCATGTCATAGAGGCGATTAGTTCAATTCTTTATTATGTGTATCTGTCAACAAAAAAGAGTTATACGATCATCAGTTTCCACATCCACAAATTCGACAGGGTTACTGTATATTGGATTTATCATAACAATTAAAATTGAATTTTATCGCAATATTTTGAATTGTTTGAAGTTGGACATTAACAGCGTTGGATTTTTAGTCATTGGTCTGTAGTTTAAACGTTTGCATTTGTGACCGAAGGTCCTGATCTTCATTACCGGATGTCGGAGTCACGAATAGGGATTTCTGAAGAACTCCTCGCTGGGATGATACGGCTGCCAAGTGCTTCCAGGTTTTCAATAGTAGTTTTGCCGAAATCGATTCGTGGTTTTAACTATGAAATTTCTGCAATCTCCTCCCTTGAGGTCACTTGGCTTTATCAACTCATCGTCATTCAACCTATCAATAGATGAACACATTTATAAATTGTACAAAAATGACATTTGATTATTCTAAGACCTTCGTACCGTTTGCATTTTATATCTGTACATTGTCTTTCTATATCCTATTCTCCTTAATCAATCGGTTAGACAGAGAGTGTCTGCAGTCTCATGACTAGTCCTCCATTTTATAACTTTGTGGACGTGAATTGAAAACTTTAAATTCCTCTAGGAACAGGAGAGCCAGTTTCTTATATTTATGATAATTTATATGTCAATGTCATTAAATACGAATGTTTGGAGCTTTACAATGGCTCCCGACTAATTTGTCATTTCGATGTGTGAATTTAAACTTGATTCAAACTGTGGAGTTACATATGAGGCGGGATTCAAACTCCACAAGGAACTATTCTTTAATATGCGTTTCAGAGATATTTTGCATCGATGTCACGATATTCTAGTTTTAGCTAGTGAAGCCTGTTACCGGGTTTCTAATGTTTAAGGCTTCATTATTTCTCTTTGAGAGACCTTGGGGATCATTTCACGAGCTTGAATAGTTAATACTGGTGGTATATTTGAAAGGAGTTTAAAACAGAAGATGAGGATGAATGGTGGAAATGGAAAAAAATATTTGAAAGCGATGATGAACAAGAATAGTTTAGATGATCCATTTATCCAACAAACGACACTTGTATATAGTGGCAGATCAGTTTTTTTTGGAATTTTATCTATTAAATCACCGGCTGGAACTCACGGAACTCATTTAAAATCAGGCAGTCAGTTAGTTTAACTAATCACTCCTAAGGTATGGCTTAAACCGGAGCGTAGGAATATGTACTTGGTAAACGAGTTACCTTTATTCAACAGGAATAGGAAACATATTTTTATTAGTCATTCAACAGCTTATAATATAAACACTTGATTATCAGATTAAGTTTCCTGCTCGTTATATCACAATCGGAAATGTTTTCACTATATTCTATCCTGATTACTGAAAGAACAGTTTTTCACTAATGTAAACTTACTGTATATGGATAGAAGTTTAGTTTTCTAATTTTATGAATAAAACTAATTAATTAATATTCTCCTCCATCATTAGAAAACTACTAATCATATGAATCATGTTTTTCATTCAATCATTTGATCATACAATTTATCAAGTTTCAGCTTTAATTTTTACAAATCGTTTTTCCATAATGATTGATTGTCTCACCGACAATGTGTATATGACCTATGAATTTCCAGGCAAAATGTAAAAAATGCATTCAAAATTAACTCATTCAGAAATAAGATATTCTTGTCTAACCGATACTGTTTATTCAATAATAAAATGGAATGATTCAATATACCTACTAAAGTATTAATCGAAGTTGGGTTAAATGGCGCCATCTTTTTCCAAAAAAATCTCAGTTTAACATATGTTTGAATTTTTTGAGCAAAGTCAGGTAGTTGCTATGAGTGGAATACAGAACACGCGTTTTCTATGATTTGGGATCTTTAGATTAGATGTACTTGCCCCCAGTGCTGTAATTCACTCTGGGACTCGAACCTAATGCCTCAAACTTCAAACGGGGGAATTCGTTACTCATTTAGCTACTACTTAATACTTAAGTAGTTAAATGGTATTTTCAACACCGACTGAAGTTCAATGAGAAACTACTGTCACAATGACAGTAAACAGAGATTGCGTCCAAGGTGGAGATCGATCATGTGTTCTCATTTACTCGCTTAATTGAAATCATGACGTACAAATGATATTTTGTGCATACCAAGTAAAATAAATTTGAATATCTCTTCTATTAAACACCAGTTTACTGGTTGAATGTAATGTTGTATTCTTCGTGAAACTCAAATACTCTAGATCTGATCTAATGTCGATCAGTGGTTGTATACTGTTAAGAAAAGTCTCAAACAAAAATGAAACAGTTGTCCAGTTTTTTATCATTTTCAATCGCTTTTCAGGTAATGTCAATTCATAATGAGAAGTTACTAATTGTTACTGATTGTACAAAAACTCCACACAATCATTTTCCATAAACGTAAATCACTTGACTGTTCACTTGACTTTCATAGGTTAACTATCTTTTCTGACTGCCTATATGGTGTGAGAGAATCGACTAAATGGAAATTGAGTAAAATGTCGTATATTCATCTATCCACAATGATCTCAATTGTGAACATGTTTCTTTGCAACAGAAAAGTCACTAAGAAAGTAAATATCATAAGATGTACTCGTTCTATACAAGCACAAATATTAATCGCATGTTTTCGAGTTATGAGAATGATAATTGTGATATTTTTAAATTGTTTGTCTAAGCAAGGAAAATGTCGAAAACTTCGACCAGACATAAATCCCAACAAATAGTGTGTAGAATAAATACAGATTCACATTCAGCACAAATCGGTCGATGTGGATGTAATTATTCACTACTTGAGTTTCAATTAGATCCTATTTCACCAAGTCAGTTATTGCGTACTATCTTCGGGAAGCTTTAAATTCATGTTTCATGTTAGTTCACATTCATTAGCTACGCGTATGCGCAATTATACAGTAACTGATGCTACACTTAGCTTTTGACCTTGCATCAGTCAACGCCACTGCTCGTTCCTAACTTCTATGTCTATATTCATCCATTCAATCACTTGGCTAGATATTGGTAACATAAATTGGTAGTTGAAGCTAGTCGACAGTAAATGTGGACCTGAGTTTCGTGCTGTTTGGCACCCGTCACCTAGACGTACGTATACTCCTGAGGTAACACTTACTTCTTGACAGATTTCGTCTTGCCTATCTTCACCTTCAAAGACGTTATCACTTTACTATTCGGGCTATATACTACTTATCTGGCGATGTATATCACTATTTTGTAAAATTGCTTATTTTATGTTCGTTATTCATTCCAGTTGTATTCCGTTGTAGATAATCAAATATTTGAAGTTTTCACTAACGCACTAATTGCAACGATTTCTTATTGTTTACTTTTAGTTAGTATGGTTTTATTAACACTTATTGACGGCTGTGTGTTTTGTATTAATAGTCGGTATCCTTACTTTTTTTAATGGTTCAATCAATAGATATGTGGTTATAGGTTTGTATGTTCAAACATCACTCCATACTTCATTTTGAACAGTTTTGTAGTTATATTATTTACCAATGAGGCGACATAGGTCAAAACCAGTTACATTAATATGTATTTTTGGTGGTATTAATTTCTCCGAATTCGATGGTTCAATGGAAAAGTTTTGATTGTCATTATGGGCAAGATCTTCACCTCCTAATTCATATAGAAGTGGTCTTCCTATTTATTCCACAAGTGCTGTTTTGGTTCATCCCAATGACCTTGCTGAGAATGATAATGAAAGCTTCGGCATTCAGTCGTCTAATTCGGAGAGCTCAATGAACTACGAATTTTCTCCATCATATGAGAAATATGTGAATTTTTAAAAAAATTATTGAAGAACAAATATGAACCGATTTGATCGAGTGAATTTTGTACGATAATTAGATACAGATTTTCACTCATGATATCAAAGCCGACAGTAAATGTAACTCCAACTCCTTAGAACTATTATGTTTGATTAAAACTTGGGATGTCAGAATGGAAGAGCCTAGTTTTTTTATACTTAGAATAATATTTTTTTTCCGGAGAACTATCTCTTTGTGTCTTACGTACAAATTCACTTTTCAATGGTTATTAATTGAATTTAAATAATTATAGCATAAATAAATGTCATACTGAATAACTGTCAAAATTGAATGAATTACATAATAGAATTACACACGATAATGCCCATAAATCCTTACTTACGCCTGTTTCTGTTAATGGAGCAAAGACCGCCAACCAGCATTCTCCAACCAACTCTGTCCCGGGCATTCCTTTCTAGTTCCATCCAATTGTTGTTCATTCTTATGATGTCTATCTCCATTTCCAGGCGTAATGTGTTCTTTGGTCTTCCTCTATTCCTTTGGCCTTGATGATTCCAAGTGAGGGCTTGGATTGTGACGCAGTTGGGTACTTTTCTAAATCTGTGTCCTATCCATTTCCAGCGCTTCTTCCTAGTATACCCATAAATATCCTACTGAAATAATCAATAAATGTAATTTTCAGAATTCTGCTATCAATTCTATAATACTGAGTGCAATGATTATATTAAATGAATCTCAATCATAAATTACTTCTGATCAGTCACATTTACAATTTTTTTTGTTTAATTGTATGTAAAGTGTTTTACATAAAGATTGACAGGCATAGTAGTACCACTTTATTTTTATAAATAATTTTCAAGATAAAATCATCACATTATGTCATATGTTTTAATGATAATAGAACAAACAGTAAAACATGTTACTTCTTGTGAGTGTTGTACGGGAAACGGTTTTTTCCCCTTATTTTCAAATGGATTATATTGATCCTTAGAATTGAAATGAAGCAAAATAGCTTTAGTCAATTAAAAACATTTAAATATTGTAATGTGGCAATAACTATTGTACAATTGATAGTTCAACTAAACACGTTTGTCTCAGTCAGTTATGTATTATGAATATATGTGTCTAATGTTGTTAAATTCTCTGATTTGAATGGTTCAATTATGGAGCTTTCATTGATTGTTGTTTTGATGAATATCGTCAGTGGTTACTTATACATGTAGTTCCACAATTGAATCATCTAGCTCAGAGAACTCAAGAGTACCGATAATATCCATTTGATCTACTGATCTTCCCCATAATTTCAAATTGTATGTGTGTAATAAGTAGTTTTTGTACTTTATTTATCCATTTGTGATTTAATTTATACAAAGATAAATGGACTTCTTGGGTTGTCTACAGTAGACCTGAAACATCTTTACTGGCCTGTAACTAATGCAGAAGAAATGTTGCTCAGAATTCACAGTCATTTTATCTGTCTGGTGATATGTATGTTGTAGATTAAGTCGATATCAATTGAATTTACTGTAGACGTACCTTGAACCTTATTATAAGTTGTCTGATTAGTTCTGATGGATAAGACTATAAGCTCTCACTGTCCTTGAATAGAGCTTTGACTTCGGGTAACCAAGAAAAGGAGTGGTATGTTTTTAAATGTGCACTTATTCGCAAATGTGGCTATTCATTAATTTTATTTCTTCATTATGCATATGTCGTGATTGATTAATAGACAGATAGACATCATTAACACTGATCCTGGCACAGGTACGTGCTGGTGCGAGTTGTCATACTAGATTAGTGCAACAAGATGTCATAATTAACATTTATATTGATGGTGGTGAATATGTTGGGCATTTCAATTTATCATAAATAATCCTATAATTTATTGTTGTCTCTACGTAATTTACAGGTTTGTATACCTCCCCGTTATCATTACTGGATACTGAATTGCTTGAAATGAATTCATTGAATTTCAATGAACAGGTATATTGATTTGTATGTTTTATTTCTGGTTAACAACTTTTGTTTTTACAAATATTGAATGCCAAACTTACCAACTTACCAAATTTAAAATAATGAATAACCATTAGATTTACCACTTAAAGTATTTTATAGTGATCGTAATGCTGTATTGTTGTATCATCATGGTATTTGAAATGATATAGGATTGAAATAGACACACACCTACAAACGCTTCTTTCTCGGTTGATGATTTAAATTCAACAGCGACTCATTCATTCTTGTTTTGTATTCAAAATAAACATTGTAAAGCAAATTGTGTAAACAAAATTTCACTGGATAATAAGTACTATTTTTGTTATAACTTGTGAATCGAATGCTACTTGTTATCTCGTCGTCGCTGATTGTTCTATTGGAACGCTTATCACTTATACTCAGAACGAGGGACCTCTGCGATTCCCACAACGTGAAAGTAAGAATACAAAGACTGGTATAACTGGAGACTTATTAACCCCAAAACACGACGACAAGTAGCATTCGATTCACAAGATATAACAAATGGGGACGGGGATTTTGGAAAATATTCACAAGTTATAACAATTTTAATATGGACTATGTATAAGCTAGTCATGGATATTCGAATCGTTATCACATAATACTATATTGATCAATGAATTTGCACATAATTGATACTTAAAATAGAATCGTTTGTCAACTCATTATTGATCATACCGAAAATCCGGATATAAATGAAATTGTTAAACTTACATAATTAAAGTTCTTTGTATAATATTCTTCTAAACATTTCATAATATAGAACATAAATTCATTTGGTATTGTTTACTTGTATCTTCTCAGAGTGTGAACATCAACTCTGAAATACAGATACATCCATCTGACGGGTCTCAAATGGGACGAAATGCTCATCCTAGATTCTACTGCTAGCTACTATCCATTTTTACTATATTTTTCAAGTTCTAAAAATATTAATGCATTAAATAATCAACATTCGCATATTCGCATTTCGTTTCTATCTTGTTTATATTGAATCGTGTTTTTATATATATATTTTTGCGTTTGATTTAATGCACTTTCATCAATGTTCAATGATAATTAAGTAGGCAGTTATTTAACAATAAAAAAATATATATGCTTATCGGTTTTTAATGTATAACTTTTGAAAAAAATGTCGGTAATACAATTGTAACGTAATTACATTTTTTTCCTGATCACTTGTTGTCTCTTATCTAGTTCATTTCAATTGGCTTTTTCCCTGTAGCTACTGGCATATATTTAGTGTTTTCTGTTTTCTTTTTCTTTTTTGTAAATATTACTAAAAGCTTTATTAGTCTATGTAAAAGTTATCCTATTTTTAAAAAAAATTTTTTGATAAGGTGTTTGTTCAATTGCTGTAACTAAGCTTAATGCTTTGATTATTATTATGCCCGTTTCCAATTTTTATTTGTAACATAACATAAAAATGATCAGAAAAATCCTAATTCATTCGAATTAATAATTGTATCTTTATTTTCCTGTATATGGATGATAGTTTTGTAAGTATGTGCTAATTTTGGTTTGACTGATAACATTGATCCATGTATAGTCAAAGCCAAAACTGCATATCCTAATCTAGGTTATTTTTGGCGTTGTCGTGATGATAGTTTAGTTATAATAGTTTAGAGTTTAGAAACTCATTAATGAATGTAGTTTTTATCTACTTTCATCAAATTTGACCCATCACAGCTGAGGGTTGTCAATGTTCCCATATTTCATTTTTATTGTCTTTGAAAGAATTCTCAGATCCAGTTGTAAACTATATTGATAATTCCAAGATTTGACAGTGTATGTTCAGGTGCGGTGACGATAATTCACTTAGTGGCATCATCTTGAAACACCGGTAGGCTGGTCATATGTTACAAATCTCATCTTAGTGACTTCCACATCGTGCATCATTCATCAACTCTGGAACTGGTTAGAGAAAACGGAGATGGTTATTTTATGACATGGTACTTAGGTACAAAAAAAGCTGTAAAGAACTGCTATCTGCCGATACATCGCGACTCTCTTGTTGAAGTTCTAGAGATGTCGCAACTCGGTTAGCTAATAATTAACTACTTTCGGATTCGAGATATTTTGTGAGATATAATCATCCCCCTAATCAAAATACGCTTGGCTGCTATCGATTATAAAGGAAATTCATTTAGAAATATCCTACTGTTAAACAGTAATACTTCCTGAATCATTCTACATTTGATTATCTTGATAGCTGATGACTAATTACCGATTCATACTTTGTTTCATGAAGTTAAAAGACTGGTAATTAATGCACTCAAGTTTTAAATATTAGGTCACCGGCTCAAACTCAAACCCATTCAATTTCATATAAATACCCGGTTAGCTTCATCAAGCCTCATGTAAAACATATGATTTAAGGTCGATTGCTTAAACTTTTAAACTGCGTTACTGAGTCACACTTGATTTTTGTACCTGCTACTGAGTCAATATTTATGTGATAATTGGAGCAACAACCAAGTGCTCAAATTTGCGTCTACACTCGAAGCCTAATTGTTGAGATTGGATCTTTGTAACCTATTACACTAATTCTCTAGTATTATCATTTCTCATGTTTCTTACAATTTAATATGTCCATTTAATTTTGTTTTTAATTAATTGTTTTGTTGTCATTTTTATTATTATTTAACGGATTATTTATTTCACTTTTCCGCTCAATTGATTTTCTGTTTTCAGCGTTATCGTGGGAACATAGCTAATCATCAGTATATAAATGGTAGGTTTGTGTATTTTTTTTTCTAAATTCTTTCATACATAAACTTGTATACGAAGTTAAAGCTAAACGCTTAGGATAATGTAATGTAAGAAATTTTCAAAGTATTTCACAAAATTCATATTACTTGTCCATATAGTGAGATTAGCTTAGTTTTCATCTCCTACTACACTATATACAACAACCATTTATCCTCTTCCTTGTCTTGTTCAATCCAAAAGTATAAAAATATCTGCCTGGTGAAATTTAATTCGGGGGAACTATGGAAGATTAATTCAAGCAAACAACGATTATGTCCTGAAAAGTGGAATGAAAAAATTAGCATACATTCAAGAAAGTAATGAATCAATAGTAGGAGAGCATGTTTGGTTGTTACAAGAATGAAGGGCATTCAACCTGGGATAATCTCGGAGAACGAAAACACAAGTTTGAAATTTTCCATTAAGAAGACAATGAAGTAGTAGGAGTACGTTCTGCGGATTTAAGATCCTTCACAAAAATATCAAAAGATGGCTACTCACATAGATCTGAAACCACACAATAGGATTTTTCCTCATATCACCTTGAAGTTAAGTTGAATCGGGCGAAGGTTTCTTAAGTCTTACGACTTCAGCTGTTAAGTCTGATAGTTAAATTAAACGATAATACTTCACTACAATCTATTATTGTAACTGGTGTACGCCTTATCAATCATAGCGAAGATAGCCAGTTTGAAATATCACACGGATGATTGTTATCATGTTTGTTATAATGACAATCAGAATTGAATCATTAGAAAATTAAGTTGTTGTTGTTATGAAGTAGAGTTGGATAGTGGCTAGCTGTTTGGTTCAGGGCGTGCATTTCATCTTATTTGGAACTCGCCAGTTGAATGTGCCTGCATCACAGATTCGATGTCCACTCTGGGGCTCGAACCCGATACTGTTCGCCTCAAATACTATTCTGTCATCCGCTTAGCTACTGGCTTGTTGTCTTTGCTTTCGCCTCGAAATATTATACTTTTGTTTTGTATGTTGTTGTCGTCATTTGTACTATGCCAAATAATAAACATACAAACATACATCTATCATCATTAAACAGCTTAATATATAGATTATTAAGTAATATACTCATCCAAAAATTGTCATATTGTTTGCGTGTTTTTTCTTTACTTAAAATTAGTTTGTTTACTGATCAAGATAATGTTTTCGTAAATAATTGTGCTTTTGGTCATAGATTTATTGTATTAAGTTTCAAGAAATAGTTATTGGTTTATTAACACACATTTTAGACTACATTTAATGGTATCTTTCAGTGAAAAATTCATACTGGATAAATGTTTTATGCATTAAGCAGATACCTGATCACACATTGTTGACAGCACATCAAACGTGAAAATAATCATCGTCTGTTTCTTTCTATAGTACTCCCAGAACAATAGCTTGACGGTTTAAGGATTTATCTTTCAATCGTTAGGTGTCAGGTTCACATTCAACCCCATTGACCTCGGTTCGGGCAACCAGTTAGTATCATTAATCCTGATATAAAGAGGATGTTTTGAAGCAACATCGATAAAACTATACTTAACAGTGGTATTCAAATTCCTGACTACAATCTGATAAATTTACTTTAAACACTCATTGAAATCTTGCACCATTGAACCCTAAACAGAAAAAACGGGCATAATGTGTGTGAAAAGCGTTGCTTCAAAGACTAACTTGTATACAGAAAACTAGGACATTTGTAGTATTTTGTGTGACCTTATTAAGACAATCCCTCTTCTAGAATTTTCTTGTAGGTTCCCAAGCAACATGGATTAATCAAAGTATTTTCAACATTTCCCCGACCTTTCAAGACTTTTGGGGAATCATCTAAATTTGTCTAACATAATCTCTTTGATTATTCTTTATACAAGGGTTACATCTTAAACTCCCTATTCACTTGAATCATTTTTCAGTTATCGTAAATGTTAGTTCATCTCATTTTAAAATTAGCTTTCATCAAAAAGTGACTACTGTTTTATCTTAGTTTACGACTACTTAACCCATCGTTTAGTAATTAAAACTACCAGGTCTTACTTTTGGGTCTTGCTCCACCTGCTTAGATTTGGTTAGTCGTTATTTTCATTACCCCTTTGCACACTAACTGTAGTTCAAAACCATGTACACGGAAATGTTTTTGCACTAGAACTCAAGCACATTCAGGTCTTATGTTAACCCAGTCACATTGAGCTAGAATCCAGTAATTCGTACTATCGACTACAGTTATTCACATTTATTGTTTCATGCGAATCTCCAAAAACAACTACTAATCACAATATTCATTACTTTAATAATAATGTGTTCTCTGAACTAAACGGCTTAATTGTGGAGCTTTCATTTTCGTACCTTACAACCTAGTCAGTGTCAGATACACACTTCTATATAGAGTCGGCACTGATGATATTATCCAGAACGAGAATACAAACTTTTTAATTAAACCATTTACCTAAGAAATCATATAACAGAAAACATCCAACTAAACTACAAATTATCTTCATCCTTTCGATATTGATTATTTTCTGAATTTTTATCTATTTTTACTACTTATCAGTTTATTTTTTCTTTATCTTTTTCTCTTATCATTTTATTACTTTACATTTTTCGGGGGGGGGGTTTCAAAATTTTATTATTTTATTTCGCTATTTTTTAGCATTATGAAATATATATTTTGTCTGACTACAATGTTACTCTTAATCCCATCTAACTAATGAGCGTTTTTTCTGTATTAAAGATAAAATAACAGTATATAATGAGTTTTGTTGTCGTTTGCTTGTGTGTTGGTGGTAGGTAAATGTCCACATTAAATAGAGTTCCTTTAGGAAACCTAAGCTTTAATTCAATGTTATCTTAATTATATCTGTGATTCTGCTGTTTTCACATCTCCATCGGGTGTTTGTAGACATGTACTCGCACACACACACACACACACAAGTACGTGCGCACATCATCATTCAATTATTTTTTATTTGTTTAAAGAAAAACAACTGTACATAAATGACAATAAGCTCAGTAGTTTGTTATTTTATCCTCATTCTCATTATGGTTTTTATGCTAATTTATGTGTCTTATTTTAAAATGAGTCATTCTCGGAGGATTTGTACTTGTTTGGCTGTTTTTTTCTGTGCTGTTAACTTGTTTAATTCCCTCTTTCTCATTCTATTTTCCTATGGACTAGGAATATTCTAAATATTCTTCTCTTTAATCTAACCGGAAGAACTTTTCATTCATTTCTTTTCTGTTTTAGATTTTTATGATCCTTCGATTTAGATTTGCGTTTATTTTGTTTACTTTTTATTTTCTAGTGGAATCTTTTACTTTTCTTGTAAATGATGCTTTATTTTTGATCTGGGAGTGTTGGATAGATTAATTTTTATTAGTAGATTTAATTTGCCATAAATTGATCTCATTTAGAGTACTCATGAAAACCATGGTGCAATAGGCATCCGTCTCATCATAGTACCGCACTCCACAACAGTGCACATTTACAACCCTGCCATTGATCAAGTCTAGGATCTGTACCTTTTGTGGCGAACGTTTAATCCCTCTAACCAAACTACAGTTCCAGTGAAATGTCATGACTGGGGGTGATCAAACATGGCAGGGAGATAGTTATCACTAATAGCATTGGATGATCGTGAAGTAGTAGAATTCGAATGCTGGCCCAATTGTTTTAACAAATAGGTTCTGTTTTCGTTCCCTGGCTGGGTTATGAGTGCGCACTGCTCAAAAATCCCCATACCTCAAAGTACAAACTATGGATCGCTCTCTGGTTTTCAATAGTTTCCGCGATCGATATCGATCTATGACGAGTTGAACCTCTTTTGTCTTACTCTTTAAGTGATTAGGAAGGTAGGCCATTGCTAAGAGGCCTAATGTTCTTTCGTTCATCGGAAATACTTTCCTAAAGTTGATTCATTGTTGATCTTGAAACCCTTCTTTGTTAGTTCTTCCTATATACTCATTTATACATGTAAATTCATAACTCCAATTGGCGGTAGTTAGAAGAGTACTAGTTCAATAGGTAGTTGATATTTTAACTGGAATAAAGCTTTTTTCTTGTGGTACCCTCTTATTTTCTTGTCAATTCACTTTTACCTAACATCTAACATGTACGGATATCTGATAAAATCAGGCTTTTTTTAACCTACGATTAGAAGTTAAACATGATACACCTTTTTAGAATATGCACCTATAAAAATATTTGCAATGATTAAGAAGTAGCTTACAGTTCGTTTCTCTTTCTCTGTTGCAGACTTTCATGTTAAATCAACTGACCAGCAATCAAATACATCAATTATCGGTGTTGTTCCCTGTTCTCCACCCACTGATGTTACTGTTAGTAGTAATGTCATAAATACCACTACTATTAATAATAATAATTTGAGTATTATTTATGCTACTCCTCAACCTCAACGAAATCATGTGAGTATTTTCCCTATAATTTTTTATATAGTTTTGCTAGATGTTTTTACTGTGACAAATAAATTCATATTATCTACTCGTCTTTGAATCATCATTCACCCTATCAGAATTGAGTGAAGCTATACTGTACCAACGACCTAGAACGATTTCTGGAATAACCTTGATAACAGGAAGTTCATAGTTAATCATTCATGAAGACAAGTGTTATAAAAAAATTATTTATAATACAGAGAACTAAACAACTAAGAAGTATTACAAAGATATGAATGGTGGCAAGCAGTAGAATCCAGAAAGCTCGTTTCGTCTCATTTACCTGCATCGTAGATTTAATGTTCACTCCATCTCTGCTTATAATACTTGTGACTTAAGGCAATATTCAGGCAATCCGCACAGGATGTACATATGCCAATAAGCGACTAATCAATTGTAGTCCTAAACATCAATGGGAAGATTCAAACAAACAATATAAAAATAGATTAATTATGAAATATATGTTTTTTGTATGTTAATAATATATTTCTCCATGATGATTTTCTCATCGAAATTCTATAGTAGCTCAACTAATTTTTCAGCCTTACCTATATTTCCTTTATGTTGCTTGATATGAACTCCTACAAGTAATGTTTTACGAAATGTTTATGGAGAAAGTATTTGTAATGATATTCTGTACTCTTAAAACACTTTCAGATTTACCTATCATTATTATATTCAGTGATGTTTATCTGAACGTACTTTTTCATTATTGAAATGATTGTGTAGATATTTTTGTCTGGAAATCTAACTAACTAGTCGATCAAGGTTAAATCTTCGGTTCACTTCCTAGTTCCTTGCATTGTTATCTTTCAATTGAGGACAGACCATACTTCTGATTTCATCTATCAATTATTTAATGTTCTCACTGAAATTCTTCACTGTGTACTAAAATGTGTGTATTTTTCAATGATTGACACGCTGTGACTTTAAAATACTCATTCGAATGCTGGTTGATTCGGTAATATAGTACAGTTTTGCTGCCTAAATTATTTGGTTATACCAAATCACGTATGTTTAGTCTTATATACATCCCTTAAGTGACTTCAGCGTAACGTGTCGTATCCCTCTAAAATGAAAACCTAATCATGACCAATCACGTACATTTATCATTTGGGTATTTCTGACTGCTTCACTGTATCACTTTGCTTTAGAGAAATAAAAAATTCGTTTTCAAATCATTCCATTTATATTTTACAGACTGCTTAACTTTAAGTTCTTTCAGTCATAATTGCACATAAAACATATAAAATAGTGTAAACAGTAATATTTACTCTTAGTATTCAACGGCTACAGTTTTGCGTATACGATTCATAATCACACATTTCGTATAGGAGCTAAAAATACTACTTGATCGGTTAATCTTTAGTTGACGAATCGTTGTCGAAATGTTTTAACAGCCCAGTCATCTCTTTCGATGTAAACCTCAAATTTGAAAAAATGATATTTGAAGGTATCTTCAACCGTATCGAAGAAATATTGCACGAATGTGTAGGTGTATAGTGGTAGACCGCTTGAATATGCATTTAATGTGTTCAAGTTCTAATTATTCCTTCAAAACTAACTGATGACTCAGTGACCCTAAACTACTAGATATCAGAAGAAAGAACAATTAAGCAGCAAAAAATTTTTTATATTCTAGTAAAATGACATATTAGTTTACGAAAAAATATTATACAGACAAAATTCACAAGTTCATTCAGGCTGGAAATATAGACTATTTGGTTGGGGACAGTACGATTATCGTGATCAATTGTTAGCGACATTTAATAACATGGTTGAAAATCGGCCATTTATTATTTCTTAGATGTTAAGCTTCTAAATTATACTAGGGTTGTTTTATTGCACAAATATATATTTTCGCAAATAATATTTTCTGCTGTCACTATTATTGCTTCTACTACTCTGGCATCTCTATGCTTACTTGGTGTGGCGACTTGAACCGATGCACATGTATGTTAGGTTCTACATTGCGTAAGAATAACTGACGGGAAATGCAAATCATTGTGTTCTAGCTGATGAGACCTGAAGAATCTCGTATTAGGACTAAACATCTTATTAGTATTCTATTGTTTTCTAGGATACTCTGATTGATGTCAATCTATAATGACTGCCACCTACAAGTCTGTTGCAATCCTATTTTAAAAGATTAGTGATAATGCTTATTAGTTTCCTTTGTTTCAATTCAATCTCTTTTACAGCTTTCTTCCAGAATTGGTTACCATCATCGAACTTCCGGTAGTACAGGAGAAAATAGTATTTCTTCAAGTAGTTCGTCGCATATACGTGCACAAACTCCAGATCCATATGTGGATCAGCGTTTAGGCTTAGATAGTCCTAATCATCAATATCATCAGCGTCACTATCAACATTCGTATCAAAACGAACCGTCCGATTTAATTAGTCGGTCAAACTTTAACCAAACAGATTTTATTCATCATTCCAATAATAACAATGGCAATATTAATAATAATATGGGTTTATCTGTGATTTCGGATAGACGCCGACGTGTACATCCCGTTGATGATAGCGGTAAATAAAATATTATTACTTCAGTCGTAGATCATTTACGTTTAATCTTAAAATTATATAAATGCATTTCAGTAACCATATTACAGGTCTATGTATTCTTATGAGTTCTACAAATATATTACCCTATTGATTTATGCCTAATTAAATAAAGGAACGTCTTAACATGAAACCTGATGGTTGAGAGTCAAGGTATTTTATGAAACAATATTCACTTCATAAATGGAAAACCATTTATACAATGCTCAAGCCTAGATGCTGCCTTTACTTGATGATCGGGCTTGTCATTCACGATGACTCAACCGAGCTATATTGGCTGAAACACATGTTCTTTTAGGTCTTACTATTCAAGGCAGGTCTGTTGGAGAACGGTAAGTCTAAAAGTGGCAACTTATGAGCAAAGTCATAATGCTGAATGTAGAGGAGCGTGACAGCAGTATGGCGTTTCCTTCAAAAAATCAACATCTGCAACGAAGCTTCTGACAATGCAAAGAAGAGGTTAAAAAACGTCAACCCTAAAAATATCACAACTTATCTTACCCTGCAGATTTCCTTCTCCAGTGATAAGGCGTTTTGACGTGTGGGGTTTACAAATCTGAAACTCCCGATAGAAGGGCTGTGCGTGAACGACCTCAAACAATTGTTCCTTTGGCGCTGCAGTTGCTCTCCCAGGCCTCTAAGACCACCACTAACATAGCTTCCTATTCAAATCCCTCTAGAGGAAATGTCCATCCACTGTGTGGGCAGCCTCATACCTTTGATAGCACATGTGATCATCTTGTTCACGACGTCTGTTTAGTTAATTTAGGATAATAATTCATTGTAGTATAGTGGAGCGGCTTTTCCAACTAGTCTTACTAACCATGACTAATAAGAACTATACAGAGCCTATTCCTGCCTACTCCTACGCCATCCAATGCACGACTTAGTCATACGTTACACAAATATCGATGAAGATTCACGACCTCATCATCGGTCTAACCCCAGCATTAGTCACTTGGTCATTCCATGATACTCCAGCAACACTTTAAAGATACCTATGATCGAAAGCCCGCAGCCTGTGCATGGTTTTTGATTTTATGAACCATTTTTCATTGCCATAGAGTAATACAGAATGGACCGGTACTCAGTTTAATCGTCCTTTATTTGGCAAACAAACATCTCTCATATATTACAGGTGAGACAAAATGTCTAAAGCGGATCAAACTTTCTGAAACCATGCCAAGATTTCGTCAGATACCAAACCACCCAGTTAAGTCAAATAGACAACGCGCTCAACTTCCTCACTCGGTTACGGTCAGTTTACGAGTTGTGCAGATCAGTGCTGAAGGAACATTTTGGATTTAGAGGGAAAACGAGCCATCCTAAACGCGCTCACATAATTATTTACGGTTTTCAGGGGACTATTCAGTGTCTCAACATCTTCATTAAATAGCACTATGTCGTCTACGCGTTCTAGGTTGGAAACTAAATCTCCCTAAAAAGTTAGGAAGAAAATGTTATCTTTATATGGATATTTGCAACAAAATATCCATAAAAACAAAAGAACTATCTCTCAAAATGTTTACCACCTAAATATGAGGGTTTTTTGATTCGTCATATTTACACTTTCTTATATATATTGGTCTTTTGATCATTTAAAATCATATAAAAGATACAGTTATTGTAAATTAAAATAAAATAAATTAACTTTATCGTTGTCCCTTTTTTGTTTTCAATAGTTCTGTTTACTAACATTAGTTCTTAATGAAAAGTTATCTACAAATGTGATCTCCACTTAGCAAAGATACATTTAGACATCTGAATTTTATTTATTAAGTAATTCAACTGCGGTGTGTGCTACTGATGTTTACAGGTGTAAGTGGTATATATCCAGTCGAAAGTGAAATGCCTCGCTGCAGAAGTTTGGGAAGATCAAAGATAAGTGATTGGTATGAAAATGAAGGAACGATAAAGTCTGAGACAATTTGTGGACATTTTTCAAATGAGATATTTACTGTATGGTTCTCAGATTTTACCAAGATATTCTATTATGTTGTGTCAAATTAATTTAGTTGTCCCTATTTGTGTTCTCATTTACTACACAACTGTTAACTGTGAGATAAAATGGAACTCTTCTAACTTCCTTTAAATATCATTTATGATATTTGAATAGTACTAGTCTATGTGTTTTGTACACATATACACCGATTGAGACTGACATTATGTAGTGTGAAACCGAAATGCTTCATGTATGAAACAACTTCTGAATAGTCTTGAACAAGAACTTAAACAACTATACAGATTTTCTGATTTTCAATAGAGTTATATTTGGCTTAGGGATTTATACTAGAAGTAGCCTAATTTGTAAATAGTCATCGTTATTCGCACTAATATTCGTATGTGTCTGTATTAATGAATAGTTTATTCAGCTATCTACCTTCGTTTACTCTAAATCAAATTGATGACTTTTCATTGTCATTACTTCACATGTTCTCAGACTAATTAACTGATGATATCAAAAAGCTGATAGCTAACTAACAGTCAATTGTTATTTAATAATCATTAGATTATAAAATTATTTTAAAGAAATGAAACCAGTACTTTTGTATGTATATGTATGTGTTTATTTGTTTGCTTGTTTGTATCCATCGTCCTGAAGAGTATACGTGTGTGTGTGTGCATGTGTAAAGTTAAATCGATTAACATATTATATTTTACAGAAAATGGACATACATTCAAACTTAGACAAATAGCAAGATATGTTTGTGTTTCGTTTTTGCTTCTACACATCAGTATATTTGTTTATTTTAATCTGTTGTTCATGTTACTCAATCTAGTTTGTGATTTTTCACTAATTCATTGTATTCACTTTTTTCTGTTTGCATAAATTTCTGTGTTTTATGCGTTGTTCTGTATGGAGTGTTAAGTTGTTATGGTTGTGTGTGTGTGTTTTTGGCAGTAACATATTGTTATGTTTGAAGTTTAACGAGTTCACTTAGATTGCGAACGAGAACGAAATTCGGTGATCAAGGTCCAGTAAGCTAGCTATTGCTGAGCCCCAGCCCCTCTATCTAGAGGGAGAAGTCCAAGCTTAAAATAAGAAGTGTATTCTGCAGCAACCAGAGACAAGCGAAGTCTCTTTAGTAGAAAATATACTCGTTTATATATTGATTGTACACCCGTTTTGAATTATAATTAGAATGAAATCACATACATGAAAAATACTCACAGTGATAAGAAATTATATGCTGAGTATAGTTCATAGTCAATGGAATACAAGAATATTGTATATTATACAGAATAAATATCATACGAGAAAAGAAATATTACATTGCGTAATCATTACATTGAATCAAAAGAATGTAATGATAGATAAAACTCATATTATGATTAATCAATCAATATTGATTTTTCTTCCCATCATATCACATATTTTCATGCATTACAATAAGCAAATCAATGTAAGTGGATTTTGTTACATCCGAACGAAGAATAAATGAATGATAGCGACGAGTTATATATATATGTAAATATTCCTTTTATCATAGGTTTTCATTTAGCCTATTGGCTACTGCAATACTATTTACCATCCTAAACTTATCCTAATCTACAAGTCCGGCCGATATTTGTGTTCTGGAGTCAACAGACACAGCTAGGAGAGATCTTACTAGATTGATGACCAATGAGGAATCAGAACTGACTCAAGGTCATAGCGGTCGATATTCTGATCGGCAATTTTGTTACATGATAATTGACAGGGGTGAAAGTTATAACAGATTTCAACATATAATTGTTTTTTGATTGAGATCATGAACCGATTGATGTTAGACCACCACTGATTTTTATTCGTTTGTTTGCTGATCCATTATCTTTAATTCCTATACATAGAAGTGATCATAACTACGAGAATAACAGTTTAAACACATTAAACTATTGAAGTATTTATATTTCTCTGATAAATAGTAAATATACTTTGTAACAGTTCATTGTACTATCCGGCAGTTATTAAGCATAATTTATGAGGATAGATTATGTTAATTAATGCAAACGTTTGACTATTGTTTTAGACAGTATCATTAGCGTCTACTTTAAATAGGAAGTGGGGTTTTTATGTTTTCGAGAAACTCTGAAGTTAATCTGTTCTGAATGGCTATGTTGAAATGGTCGATCAGTCAAATTCTCAAAATCAAACTGAATAAAATAACTGCTTTGAATTTAAAAGCACATGACCTGTTAAGATAACCTATCACAAATAAAGTTATCATATTGAGCTGATTTAGCACTCATAGGATATTTTTCTAGGCTCATTTCTACCTAAATCAGATACTGGTGTTTCCCCCAGACAACAATTGATTCCTAATTGAAATATTCACTCCTGAGAACAAAACAGAAGTAGTGGCTTGGTGGTTAATTTACTCGACTTTCAGCCACTAGGTCGTAGATTAGTATCCCACTCCATCTACTTCGCTTTGGACATCTAGATAATATCTTCAATTTTCACACCTAACGAATTAATGAAAAGCAAGTACACGAGTTGGTATCTCTGGTAACTGAGTTAAAAGTAAAAATTGAAATGTCAACACGTACAAAAATTTATCTTACCTACAGATCTTTTTCGTGATCATTATGTAAGTTGAACAAATTACGTTTAAGTTTCCTCTTGTTTTCTAACCTCTTTTTCAGTTGTTGGTTTAAACAAGGATAACTTTTCACCCGAATCACCTAATTCATCAACAACTTATGGTTCATTACTTCGACCTGGGCGCATGCTTCCATTGCGTCATTCACAATCATCCGTATCTAACAGGCCAAACAATAATATTGTTAGATCAGCAACAGCGGTAACGACGTCAGCAATGACATCCTCAACAGCACCATTGTGTATGCTTCCTGGGGAGTTTCTTGTACATTTAAAGCGTCAATCAACTGGTTTTGGATTTAACCTGGTCGGAGGAGCTGAAGAAAATACTCAGGTTTGCTTGTTGTCGAAAGAAAATTTATTGTTTGTTCGCTTTTTATTATTATTATTATGTATATTGTTGGTTGTTATCACTCGAACATATTGGATTTTTATAAAGTAACTTCTACACATTGGCGTTTAGCTAAACACCATGTGCAACCGTTCGATCATTCGTTCGAAATGACTTACTTTGAGTACTCTTTTTTTCTGATTCTAGTAATCAGCTAATGCTTTCATCCATCATACAATTAGCAAGAAATTTGCGTTATGGATTGCCAACCTAATCGAATTTGAAATAATAACTTTTAAGTCTTCATACAAAGTTTACGAAACCTACTGACTATGTGTTACATAGTATGTGTTATACCTAAGAGGACTATTATATTGGGTTTAGAAGACAATGTATTGATGGTAAAGAGCTTTTTTATTTATTTAATTAAACAAATGAACATTAGTTCAAGTGCGTACCAAAATATATATGCATCACTTTAATTTTGTGTGAGGACTGGAATACTGCCTGGTTGCCTAAACCCAAAGCAGGTGGTGACCAACAATAGGTTCATACGCCCATGTACACCGTTGGTTTGAAATCAGGGTTTTCCAACTCCTCCAGGTGAATCGTCCGTATCCACCACCCCGGTTAAAGCGACGGACATTCGCTTTTCGTCTTCTCAATTTCGTAAACAACAGTAATGCCGCAAGAAGGCATTGAGTGGTACTTCCCTGACAGTGGCTATAATATACGCGTGGCCATATAAGAACATTTCGAGAGGGAGAATTGACCCTCCCCATTCTCTGCCATACCATGGCATTTGAGGTCCATTGTGATATCATACGTGTAATACTGTTGAATAAATGTAATATGAAGTAATTTGTTTGTAAATGTACACACGAATAATGTTAAAGTTATATGATGTCTTTTAAGGCTTTACTTGATCAAAAATATATTTTTGTAAAATAAAATAAAAACAGTATAGTAACTCAGCGACTTGATAAATTCATCAGCCATGAAAAACAGTATGCACACAATCTAACTTCAAACACATCTGTTCTGTCATCGATGAATATTAAACACAAAACCCTCATGATCTTTTCAATTGTTATTTATTTCGATAACATACTATCGTTTTAGACCTAGAATTCATGTTGATGTAATTTACGTTTTTTTTTTCAAAAAATTTGTTTTCAGGTATCTATCGGTGCTCTGCTTATGGGTGGTTCAGCTCAACTTAGTGAAGTTGTACGTACTGGAGACAAGTTAATATCAATAGATGGTGTACGTGTTATTGGAGCAACACATGCAGAAGTTGTAGAATTATTAGATAGAGCTGCACATACTGTTGGTCAAGTTACATTGGGTTTACAAAGAGGAAAGGTTAGTTCTTGTGTTTTTTCTTAGCTCGGTTTATTTATTTATTTATTTGAACATATAAACATTGGTACAAGGAGGCACCAAATACATATGCGCCACATAAATCATTCGATTTGTGTAAGGGCTAGGATACAGCCCGTGTGCCCAAACCGAAACAGGTGGTTTTCTTAGGGGGCCACACCCGGAGCCTTTGACCTAAAGGTCTGATCCACAAGACAGTGTAGCAACGTTAGGATATGAAGCCCCATGGTAGCCAGTGACCGACGATTGGTTCCTGGGATCCATGTGCACCAATGGTTTGGAATCAAGGTTTCCCCCCTCAGGTGGTCCACCAACCTTGTTAAAGCTCCGGACACTCTCATCTCGTCATTTTAATTTCGTAAACAACTCCCCAGTCTTGAGAAAGCAATGAGTAGAACCTCCCTGATAGTGACTGTATACGTGTGGCCGTGTGAGAGCATTTGGAGAGGGAGAGCGGACACTCCAAACTCTCAACGGTATCTGGGCATTTGGGGGCTATTAGCTCGATGAATTTATTTAATTAATAACTGGTCAACAAATAAGATTGTGTATGCTTTTTTGCTAGATCTGAAAGTCTTGAATTTCATCCAATGTATTGATTTGTAAATAGTATGCACTACTGATTTTCATTATTTCTCTAGTTGACACACTTATCTATATTCAATTGTCAATGATTTCTTTAAATAAAAGTGATTTTCATCATAAAATGACTTGATATTTCATTCTGATTCGGTACTCATTAGCAATAAGCATCCACGATCGCACTCTTGTGATGTTGAACCGTGAAAATCAGTAAAAAGTCAATGATATATTAATTGATGAATAACTAGTTATGAAACACCCCCCAATGCCCTGGTATGGCCGAGAGCGGGGAGGGTTCGCCCTCCCTCTCGAAATACTCTCACACGGCCACGCGTACACAGCCTCTACCAGGGAAGTCCTAATCACTGCCTTCTCGTGGCATTACTGTTGTTTACAAAAATGAGAGGACGAAAAGCGAATGTCCGGCGCTATAACCGGATCCCAATTCAATGGTGCACATGGGCTCCAGTATCCTGAGGGAACAAATGGCGTATGAACCAACTTTTGGTCACCGGCTTCCATGGGACTGCATCTCCTCACGATGCTCCACTGCCTTGTGGACTAGACCTTTAGGTCGAAGGCTCGGGGTGTGGCCCCCTAAGAAAACCACCTGTTTCGGTTTGGGCACCTGGGCAGTATCTCAGCCCACGCACTAAAATCATGATGAACTATTTGCTTATGGAAAATATTCCTTTCTCTCTGATTAACATTGAAATGACTCGTACTATTATTATTATTTTACCACGTCATTTATTCACCCTCTCTTATTCCTACTTTATGTATCCGTTTCGACCTAGACAGCACCTCGCCTATGGTGAAAATTCAGCTTTATCTAAACGTTCTCGAGTCACTGCCTGGTTGAAAATTGTATTTTACCACCGAATACGAATACTGAAGCAGTTTTTCTGAAACCACGTACACTTTGTCGTGGTATGAAAGTAAGCTGCAAAGGGCTAGCTTCTGTTGGTCCTTCACGACTCCCTGGCTGGGGTCCGAGAGACGGTGTAACACAGTGGCTAGAGACGTTATCAGATATGGCTCAGAATAGAAGCCAATGGCGATCCTGCTGTAACCTTCTTTTACTTTCTTCATAAAAAGTGGTTGTATCTTCCTTAACTGAAAGATTTCTTCTGATTGTACCTTTCCGTTTTCCCCATCATTGTTCTCTCTTTTTTTATATAATTCCCCACGTTCATTACTTTTTTTTATATATTTTTTTTCCTCCTCTTCAAATTATCATTGTTTTGTGTGGCGCATATATATTTGGTGCCCCCCTGTACCAATATTTATGTATTCAAATAAATAAAATAATAAATAAGTTTTGAAACAGATTTATCGAAATTCTGGTAGGAAACAGTGATATACGTAGTCGGGAATTGGATAATAATTCATTTATAACTTTGGACAAAAACTCATTTATATCTCGAATTTACTGAATCTTAAATTAGGGTTCATTGCATTCTAGCTCTGTGAATAAATGTTTTTCTCTTTGTTAAATATAAAATTACAATGTTTTGTCATGTATAGTGTCGAAAAGTCCCTAGCACTGATGAAACAATCGTGTATTAATTTCTGTTACCGCAATTAATATCAGTTGACGACAAGCAATATCATTAAAATAATCAATCTATGTTACATGATCAGAGGGGATCATCAGGAAACCTTGGATCTAGATTTTATCTTTGTTGGGACTTGTCAATAAGATACAATCCACAATCTTAAAGAAACTGGCGTTCCCTGTTAGATACAAATACAGGTCACCCAGCTTCACAGTATGAGACGTTACCACTAAGTTATCTAGGGTGCAAATAGATTATATATACATAATTTGTTGATTAATTGATGAGCAGTGGTCACTGTTAGGTTTACCTAGTCCTTTATTACTGATTAAATTCCATCAATCAAGTAGCAATTTCCCCATTAGTCTTCCTGATGTGAACCAACTAGTCTAGATCCTAGTTCCAGGGTTTCCTGTCTACTGTTTTCAGTCACCTACAATGATATGCAGCATCGTGTATGGGGTTTCGAGTCACTTTGACTGATGACCACTTTGTAACTTGATCGATAAAATTTGATTAGCACCACTAAAATAGTTATCGGTTGTTTGTGCAAATAACATGGAACGGTAATGATTCACACATATCTTGCATGAAAAGGTAGTTATTCGCATACAAATATATATGTATATTAATTATCACAAAGATTGTAATATCATCATATTCGGTGAAAAATGACGTATATTTCCGATAAATAATTCTGGTTGTCTGTTGTCTCGATTTGCATATATATATATATAGAGAGAGAGAGAGAGAAAGAAAGAAACTGTAAGCTTTTTGTCGTTACTAGATAAATCAACTTATCACTGATAATGACATCTTTTACCATTTATTCCCACCCTTTTACCACAGCCGTCATCATTCTGCTTCAATGTATCTTTAAGTAATATAACATTTTATGACATGTTTGTATTTAGTTTATTCCTTTTCTCCAATCTGACATATATACACATAATCTCTCAGAGCCATTAGTTCAGTAACATGTCTGAATAAAATATATAATACGTAGATAAACTTAATAGACAGGAATTCCAATATCCATCATTGTGACGTTTATTAAAGTGCAAATGAGAAGAATGGATGTATAAATCTAATTTAATAATATTGATAAATCGTACAATGTACAGGTAAAAAAAAAAGATGTTATTATGCCATTTTATTGGATTTATCTCTCCCTTTTGTTAAGTGGTTACACAGTCCATTATGCTATACATAAAATTGAATCTTAAGTAGATTGTAAACGGATTATCAGACAAAGAAAAACGAATCCATCTCAGTTTATCCCGTTTTATTTTTTGTTAAGTGCTTTATTTTGAAGTATATTTACCAATTAAACTTCGGTGCTAATCGATGCTGTAAAATTCAACTTTATAGTTGGCCTATGAGAGGAATATGCAAACAATGTTTTCAAGATATGCTAAACCTAACGCTGACGAAATGAATAGTCTTCCGATCGACTTAAATAACAACACAAGAACATTCGAAATGCGTTTCTCTCTCATCTCTTCTCTAATTGTAAAATCTTGTTTCAGGACTGGTCTGTGTCAGCGTCTGAATTTGTGATAGAGAGTGAAGTAGTTAAGCATTTTGACCGCTTAATTTTTAAACTACTGATTTGACATTCAATTGTGTTACTGCCTAACTTAAACTAATCCACGACATTGCGCAACTATCTAAACTTCCTAGTTGGGAAACGTGACCTATAAGGATACATGGGCAACTTTTTTCTAAAATATTTATACATCCATCTGATGAGCTCTGAACGAGGCGAAACGCCTGTCCTGAATTCCACTATTAAAAAACAATCTATGTATTCTATATCATTCATGACTGTTCACGGTCATTTCATTGTAAAATTTAAAATTATCTCCAAGATATATATATATATAAATCATTTGTTTTAATGTTTATTATATGATTAGGTTGAAATTGACAATCTCAATCCAAACTGTTCATTGGAACCAGTTGATGTTGTCATATCACGAAGTGAAAAATCTGATGGATTTGGTTTCTTTTTGACTAATACCAAACCAATTCACAATTCATTAAGTGAACATTCAAATGCTATTGTTGTGAATCGTAATAACAGTAACAATAATAACAGTCTTCAGAATACAGAATACATTGGTATGTGTTTTAACATGATGAGTGAACTTTTTTCAAATCTTGAATACACTATCAATTAATCCGGTGTTTTCTGTCAGTTTACCTTGATTTTCGTCAATTTTTTCCAAAAGATGTATTGAGAATTTGTCTGACGCCAAGTTTAATATTGACATATTACGCATAAAAAGTGTCTGTCTACCTGAGAGTTCAATTTTTAATCATAGATAACACAATATTTGTCAAATCAATTCGAGTTATGTGGGCGACTGTCACTTCTCAGTTGCCTACACAGAACAATCGAAGATATTTTTTCTCGATGGATGTGAAAGCAAAACTTGGTTGGTAGTGGCCATGTCAGCCTGAAAGATTAACCCCTGACCCAATGGGATAACTGGTTGAGGCTGGATACACTCTGTCTTGCCAATCTGTTCTTGACGTGTTAACTTCTGTAACGCCTTAGCACAAGCAATAGAAATTAATGGGGCAATGTGAGATGTACTAGTTAATCCTTGCTTTTGATCGCGAGTATACAAAAATGCTACTGATGACCGTTGTCTAAGGGGATCTCGTTACTGCAGTCACACTATTATGCACTCGGTAATATGACTTCATCCTGATAACTTAATTTGCTACATTTAATCTTATCGTTCTCCAGCTGACGTGTCACGTATGGTAGAAACAAGTGTTCTAACCAGTACAGTTCAATAAAGTGGTCGCGATAAACAACCCCAGTCATCATGTCATGCTAGCAACTAAGATCAGGTATTAGTTACTACTCAGTGGTCGACTGTTGTTAATATCTCAGTCCTGCAGTTTATTAGTTATAGTGCGAACTGCTCATTATCAATGTACCTGTGACATTGAAGTGTCATTTTAAATCTTTCACAAGAATGAAACTATTTCTTGATTACAATTATTACCGACTAGCACGAGATCTGGATTACATGCTGTAAGATGACGGCCTCTAATATTTGAATATCATATTCACTTAAACTATGAATATATTCAAACTGAACATGGAGTTTTATTAATTGCCTCAAGTTTATTAATTCATTAGATTGTTTTTCACTACTAGGAAATTATCATATTTTATAATAAATGAAAAAATAGCCCATTTGGAATGAATTAACTGGAGCTATGTTTTTTCTGTTTTATATGTATAGCTCAACTTGTTCCTGGCAGTCAAGCTGAACGTATGGGTCTGTTGTCTGTTGGTGATCAAATATTAGCTGTAAATGGTATTCCAACATGTGGACTACATCATGATGAAGTAGTTCGTTTGATTCGAGAAAGTGGTAATCATATAGCTTTGAAAATTTTGCCGTATTCAGGCAAGTGTTTTTCTATTGTCTGCTATTGTTGTATTCTTTTCACTTTCAAATGCTTTTTCTAATCTAATATTTTGTTAATATATTCGTTTGTTTTTGTATGTACGTTCCAGTATTCTCTTGAGTGAATTAGTTGAAAGCCAAATTGACGCTTTGTCCTTCATAAGGTTCTAAAATTTGATTGCTCTATACAAAAACTTGTACATAAATTAGATGTGGTTCATATTTGGTGTCTGAAGATTGGTCCCATCAGATTTTCCTATCTACACTGTCAAACGCCTCATAGTCAAGGGAATTGATGTATAGTGACGAATTCTATTCAATGGATTGCTGAACAGTGATCCGTGGTGTCACGATTTGGTCTGTGCACGACCAATCCTTACGGAATCCCGTCTGCTAATCTTGAAGCTAGACGTATACTGAGTTTTTCATCCGGTTCACTATCACTCTGTCAAAACTTTTCCCGGTCCTGGTAGTAGTGTAATGTTTCTGTAGTTCTCACACTTACCGAGATTTCCTTTCTTTGGTATCTTGATGAGGTATCCTTCTTTCCAATCTGTCAGCAATTATATATATATATATATATATATATATATATATATAGAGAGAGAGAGAGAGAGAGAGAGAGAGAGAGAGTCCAAACTCACTTCTTAGTCAGAGGATAGAGAAGAGTTTTAGCTCAGGTAGTTGATTTCGGTGGGTACATTCTTTAAACTGGGTGGTTTAGTCTTTTCTTCCTTCTAATTGACGTAGCCATCCACCTCAAAAAATAAACGAAGTTGCGCCGAAACGACTTCTTAGTATTCTGCACATCGTGGTTAGATTGCATTCTAGTTTATGGTAGTATAATGTAACTTTTGCGATATTCATCGTATAGGTAGTGATCTTCTGAAGTATTTTCATAAAAGTGTCAGTTTTCTTTTAGATAAGTACTTACAAACTGGTCATATTTCTCTCGTTTATATCATACCAGTTCTGTTTCCAAAGTTGTGATAATGATTCCTGTCTATTTCCTTAATATGATTGAATTACAGCTGGCAGTATGATCCATGTTATTTATTTTGTCTTACAATTCATCACTTGGTTATTCCTGCATCTAAGTGCTAGTGTTTACTTTGAATCTTGAACGTGGTACCTATCGTTAATGCGTGATCCACAGGAACCTGTAACCGCAGACGATATCGACACTATCCACTCTGGACACACGTATGTCAAAAGAGGATGATTGGAATTCTATACTGAATACCAACAACGAATAAAAAATAAACCCTTACTAATAATCAATGAACTAGAAATATGTGTGTGTTACAATACACAGCGATAACTCCCAGCTTTGACTCAGATACCTTGATAGGCTATTCCGCTTTTTCTCCTACTACTACCTAACATGGTGAAGTCTAAAGAAGATTGATTTTAACAGACACCATACAGGTATAAATACACATACGAAGAATTTAAAATAGGATAAATAATTAGTGTTCTGAAACAGCCACTAATTAGTGGAAAAATGGTTACTTAAAGAGCAATAAAGATGAAAGGTTTCTCTCGTAAGGAGTTTAGACTTTGAAGCAGCAGAAATTCAAATTTACAAAAATTCAGAATAATCGGTATGTAGTTTTCTGGGAATTTCACCTGCCCAGTACCGAGTTTCACGTTTCTATCTTTTCTTTTTTCTATTCAACACAATACGTTGTAATCTTTTGTAAAATTTCAAACATGGTCAAGTTACTAGACAATTGTGACGGCTTATTAACTGATTTCTCTGAAATTGACCAGTATCAACTCTATAGTTTAACGTTTAACTGTAGTTTTTGGGTAGAAGATTCTACTGAATAGGAATTCGATATTAATACTCTTGCATTTTCAAACTTAATAAGTCTATGGTGTAGCAAAACACTTCTGTACTTTCAGAGTAGCTGTATTTTTGCCATCTTTCTATTCGTCTGACTTAATAATATATATTCTAGCTGTTTCGTTTCGCAACTGATTACTTTCCAATGTTGCGTAAATTTTTATTAGTTTACTTTGATTGTCAATCAAACAATCTCCATTACTATAAATAAATAATATGTTTGTAATATCCCAATGAGTGGAAAAACTAGATTTTCTGACGTTTCGTGACTTAGTGCAAAACACTTCTTCAGAGAATAAATAACCAAATTGAAATTGATCCAAGTTTAAATAGTACAACGAAACAATAAGAATAATATTATTTTTATTGTTCCGTTGTATTATTTAAACTGGGACTAATTTTAATTTGGTTACTCATTCTCTGAAGAAGTGGCTTACACTAAGTCACGAAACATCAGAAAGTCTAATTTTTCTACTCATTGGGATATTATAAATATATTATTTATTTATAGCAATCTACCCAATGCTCAATTTATTCGAAATTATCAAAACAAACCTTGGTAATGATACCTACAATCTCTATCACTGTTAAACACTACCATCCAACCAATCTTATACAATGAAATGTTTAGACTGTAATTCTACTGTGAATTATATGTATATGCATGTTTACAATCCATGCTCATATCGTCTTCTCTATCGTATAGGCTCAGCTTCACGTGGACGTAAACATCCTTTGCCAATGAGAGATTCAGTTGAATTTCCGGTTACATTATTTCGTGGAAGTAGAGGTTTCGGTTTCTCCATTCGCGGTGGACAAGAATTTAATCGTATGCCACTAGTTGTTTTACGTATTGCAGACGGTGGTGCTGCTCAAATGGATGGTCATTTAAAGGTACATTTTTTATTGTTCGTCACAAACATCTTTTTTTACAATTGATTTACAAAAGTCCATAACTCAATAAATGTAGATTTGTCCAAAGGAATTAGAATGTAACTATCTCCAATAATAAAAGAAGAATTCCTGTTTTATTTTGCATTTTAATTAATACTGCCAACATAATTTATATCTGAATAAGTAGTTTGTGTCGTTTCATTCGATAAGAATCATTTCTTTTATAGACTCGTTATGTGTCATATCAATTTAGTGTGTATTATATACTCCAGAATTTTATCCTCCTTGGTATTATCAGTTAGTAAATAACTGGTGATAGTCAATCTCACCTATCTTCTCTTCAATTTTATGTAAAAATTTCAAAGTTTTTGTTTTCAAGTTAATTTGTTTCATAGTAATACTTTTATAAACACCGATTTTGAATATCTAGGCTACCTGTTGTTGCCATCTAGATATTTCATGAAGTTACCTGTTTTTGTTTGTTTTAATACATCATAATATCTATCAATCGTATAGCCTATTCAAGCGCGTTTATGAGAAGCGAGAAGCGTACATATACCTGAATTTTGATTAGCTAAAAAATTTAGGTTCCATTTCTTCAGAATCGCTTTCAAACCACTGAAAGTTGTAGCGAACGGACACTCATAGGGGTGGAACCAATTTATTATTAAATCCACAACCTGTTATATCCTAACGAAGAATAAGTGAATGAAAACTGCTAGAACCTATTTACGGACTGTCACTATCTATATTCTTATTGTATAACCATTAAGTAACTATATTATACGTATATTCATATTTGTTTTATTATAAGCTTCCAGTCCACCTATTGACTACTATTATACGACTTACAATACTTAAGTTATTCCTAATTTATCAGTTACAGTCTCCCGCAACCACTTGTGCCCGTTCTTGTATAATGGTTATTTTCTACTTTATGGTATGATGTGGTCCGATTATTTTGTATATAAACTGAGTATGTCTGGAATACATTATTCATATAGTGGAGTTGATATTAATGTTCTGAACTGAACTGGCTGGGTTATGTGAAAAGCTACTATCTCAGAGGGCCAATAAGAAATGAGAGTTGACTATATGCTGCTCGTACTGGTTTATGCGTCATTGGACTGATCAATAAGTTGGTGTTCTAATCAGCGATCTTATTACGTGATAATAAACAGTGCTATTAAAAACATAACACAATCACACAGTGATTTAGTAAATTGTAAAAATCACACATCATTTGCACATCCTTGAATTGTCTCTTAAAAGCTTCATTGTCCCTTCATTCTTGTTGTTATTTTGATTACTTCCAGTTTCCTTCTATCTTTTCTTCATTTCAATCTTCTCAACCTTCTGCTCGCAGACATTGCACTTCTGTCTGGTGTTGCATACTCTTTATATCTGCTACATAATTAACACACACCACAGTCATTAAGGTATAATTTAGCTACTTATAACTTCTATATACTACTACCATTGCTATTTATATGTAAGTGAACATTCGCTATTTCTGCACACATAAAAAACTACTATTTTATAACATATCTATATTTAGGTTGGTGATGAATTAGTTGAAATCAATGGTTATTCAACTATTGGTATGTCACATGGGCAAGCTATTGAAATCATACAACGTGGTGGAAATACTATGCGTTTAATTGTTCGACGTCGTTCTCCACGTGTTAAACAATCATTAGAACAACAAATTACAAATGGTTTAACTCGTGTTATTGATAGTCGTACAAATGCAGGTAAATTCATTTATTATACTTTTATAATTAATAAAATTTATTTAATACTGTTTCGGCAAATCATAAATTATACAGTTTCTGTTGTGAAATGTTTTTTTGGTTTATTTTATTCGCATGAATTGACTGTTTCGTTTGAAGCATGTGGAATTTTAGATCTAGATTTGTCTAAGACGTCGAATGATTGAAAATCCACAATAGTGTGGTATATGCTACTTACACTGACCAATATAGTAGTATATAACACCAGTCAGATATGGAATTCCTGCCAGCAGAAGATTGATAAGATTCAATTGAAGGGAACAGGAAGAGAAACACATAGCTATTGTAATAAAAACATAATTGAAAGAATCATGAAGTATATAGAGGACAACTGGAGGATGATGCACAAATAATGTTTTTAATGTATGGGTTTCATATTTTACTAAAGCACTCTAATTTTGCATTAAACAATAAATTGTTTTCCCCCACCTAAGTTCTCGTTCACTACTATAGTTGTGCAAAGTATGTTCATCCTTTATATTTTATTTTAATCATTAATACCTTTTGTTCAATTGAATATGCTTAGTTTGAAGTTTATTTCTAATGCATAGTTTATCTCTACTACTAATTGTATCATTCAGATTAGATTAATTCGATAAAAACATGGTCTGGTAAATGTAAACATTGAGGGGATATGATTCAAAATTAATCGTTTACACTAATCCGAATACGCTCATTCTTTGTTTTCTTTTAAATCTTGAATATATATTATTTACTTACTTAGCCTTGTTAGCCCTCGTGTAGGAGCATAACCCGCTCACTACGATTCTCTATCGGTAGAGAATATATATATATATTTCATTCTGTCTTGTCCTACCATATTTTCAATGCCTAATTCTTCTTATCATTGCTACTTCAATTATTATTATTATTATCTTGTTTTTTGGTGTAATTTCTCAAATCGGGTGTTATGTGCCAGCGAGAAAGATAATAATTTGTTGTTCGCCTTTTCACACTAACGGATAATCTGACAGGTATTAGACGTTATATATTTTCCTACGATTATTATTATTGTCATTGTTGTCGGTTGTTGGCGTGGAAATATACTCACGTCCTAGTCAGTCTAGTCACGTGTTCTTGATTCAAGTTGTGTTGAAGTCCTATAGAAAAGACACAGAGAGCGTATCTAGTGTTGATATTTATCCGTGAGATAACTGTTTACAGTTTTTTTTACGCTTTACTGTGTTGTAATCAGGGTTCATTTTACACGTCGGTAGGTGTATACTTTAGATTTGGATCTAGTTAAAATCTGTATTTCGACGTACTAGATTTCATAAATAAAATCATTTGTTCACAACTGTAAGTCTGTCTAACAAAATGCAAACATTTCATGTACAAAATAATTCGAATTATGAAACTTATCCTTCATCAGTAAAGCTTATAATTCAATCAGTGTTACAGATTTGATGTGTTTGTTCACCCTTTTATCAACGTCCAAGATCTATTAATTCCGTTTGAAAACTGTTAATATCTACCTCAATATCACGAAAATTAGACGATCATCATGTTAGATCTTTAAATCATCGTGACAAATTACCCTTGAACTTTGAGATCTAACAACTTTATTATTCACTAGACTTCGATTAAACTATTTGTGTGCTTAATTGTTGAAAAGTGAGTATATATTCAAATTCCCTAAGCTGACATACTTCCCTAAAATAAATTGAAATTATCTCACATCTTCACACTTTTGTTCATGTCTGAGTTGTAGTCGCCTCATTTCTCATATAGAATATAATAATATACCCAGTTTTTTATTAGTTCCCAAATACCACGATATTATTTCTTTCTTATGATTTATCATAGAATTTAATCCATTCTATTTTTTACCTATGTTCCCTTGTTCTCTCAATCTCTTCATGCTCCTATGTAAGCTAACTAATGTTTTAATTGATATATTTCATTGTAATTAATCTAAAGCTGTTAAGTAAAAGATGATTTATATCAGAAGGGTTTTTGTGGATATTATAGTAATTTCAATGGTTGAGATCATGAGTCAATTGAAGCTAGACCACGATGGAAAAACAACCTGCCGATATTAATCATCATGTGCTCACTAGTGACTGGTTTCAAGAGGTATTTCCTGGAGTTGTAATGAGAAGCTGTAACCAGTGGAATTCAACCAGGTCTGTTGTGAGATAGTAACTCACTGATGACAATAGTTGATGTATCGCTCAATTTGGTGAATTAGTTGAAGTTAAACATTAACACCGTTAGATGCCGACTAGCTCAGTGGTTTAAAAGTTAAGAGCTTACGCACGAGACTAATAGGTCCTGGGTTCGAATCTTGCCAGGCGGGATGATGAATGTGCACCACTGAAGAGTCCTACAATAAGACGAAACGGTCGTCCAGTGCTTCCAGGTTTTTCATGGTAATGAAGCTTCAATTGACTCATGAACTCAACTATTGAAAATAGGATGTACCAATATTTGCAATGAAGTTATATTACGATGTTAATAATAATAATAATAATAATAATAATAATAATAATCAACTAGTTGTTATATAGTGATATATCTTTAGAAATAATTTCACGGAAAATATTTATTGCAACCTGATTTCCTATTTGGTTCCCACGTTATTCTTTGTATTACATAACATTTGTCAAAAATATGTTATGACTTAATGATATTATTATTATTATATTATTATTATTATTGTTATTATTCTATCCACTCTTTACATGAATACTAATTAATCATACTAACTAATCATTTTATTTTGGCAATAACAATTTGATTTTGTTTATGCATACATAAAGTTTAACAGATTTATGCAATTAAAACAGTTGATCGGATTATTATTACTATTTCTTCAATTTGTAAGTATGTTTTTCAATTTATCTACTAATTAATATTGTACTTGCTATAAAAGAAAACCTATAAAAGGCTTGTTTTCAATTTTATGTAAGTATAGTAGTAGTAGGTAGGTAGGCCCGAATTGAATAGTTCATAAAGTATAGTTAAACATACATTGTATGTTTATCCTATAATTTTGTAGTTGATGTTATCCGCAACGTTTTCAATATTGAATAACTGTGTTGTCCTCCCAAATTCTAATCTTCTGAATTCTTCATTTCCCTTTTTTTCTCTTTCCAAATTTATTTCACTGGATTATACTCGTTGAATAACATCTTCAAACCCTAATCTTTCCGATTACTGCTTATACTTTCACTACCTCTACCACAGTGGGATTTGAATCGACAACTGCATCTCTGTGCTAATGTGGTATGGCAACTCGAACTGATGTGCATACGTACGAAGTTCTACGTTGTTTCTGGCATTTTCGGTTATTATAACTTTCATTTGATAAGTGAGCACTGCATATTGAAGTGAAATATTTACTGAAGATTTTATTTCTATGTATCTGAAGTTATCCACAACTCTCTACTATGAACTTGTCAGTTTAGTTTAACTTAGTATCAAGATTAGAAAATGCAAACATAATACTACAAATTAAAGCTTAAAACAAAATATAATAAAATGACACTTTAATATACATCGCTCATCTATAATATAAGAAAAATAACGGTTCTTGTTAAACAGAATACAATTCTTGAATGTTGAAAGTGTTCAAGATAATCTCAGTCATATTGTTTATATGAGCTTCAGCGATGTTACAAGTTGGATGCTTCAAGTATTTAACTGACCTACTAGAAAAAATATATATCATTATCAATTGATCCAGAGGTGTTCATTATTTACTTCTTTTGTGATAACTTTGAAACTGCATTTTTATTTATACGCTTATTGATAATCTATTGAGTGTATTTTTTTCATTACTGAAAACTTCATTGATTCTAGAACTATCATAAAGTTTATACAGGTAATATGTTTATGTTGTTGATTGTTTGTGTTCTTATGTATATATATATATATATATATATATATATATATATATATATATATATATATATATATGTTCACGCATGGGTATATTTGTAAATTTATATGTGATTGTCTGTTTATATATAAATGGAATGTATTTTTGCATTGTTCCCCAAAACTTATTACATATATTGTTGTGCATCTTTTGATTCTTTCAATGAACACTGAAATAAAATTAATTCACATGATGTTGAATCAGTTTATCGTTACTCATATTCTTCACTGATATTATCGTACATAACATCCGGAAAAAAAGTCCATAATGAGAATTAAACAACCTCCTGGTGTTATTATACTTTTAAAGTTTGCACATAGATAATAAAAATCATTATTGGTTGAAATGATCTTTAAAAAGATTTAATACAATATTACATGGGAATTAATATTATAAGTAGTATAGAAACGAACTCGAAGAAAAATAAAATAAACGCTGGTTATCAAACACAACATAATAATGATATCCATTTCTACAGAACAAATCCACAATGATTGTCAGAATGAAAATTAATTCCTGTCTTAGTACATAAATAAAATATTGTAACATAGCATTATATACACTAGTATATCTCGGTTTGCTACTATGTAGTCTTCATAGCTCAATGTGCTTCCGTCTTACTAAGATTAACAATAATATCAGTAAATAAGTCTTGTTTTCTATTTGTTACTATGTGTGTGTGAATGTAAAATGCATGCGTATTTAATAAAACGTCTATTTTTCTCTTTTTACCTTGATTCATTTACATATTTATGTATTACTGAATATATATATATATTTATATTCTAGAGAAACAATCACATCGACTTAGTTTTAACAAACATGATTCTTCATCAAACTGGTTTCAACGAACTATATTAGATAAAAATCATTCCTCATCTAATTCTAATCAATCTCAAAGAAGAAATGAATTTCTCAGATGGACAATTCGTAAATAATTCATTATTTTTTAAGTTTTTTCTATCATACCAATTTTTTTTAAAAAAAATAATGAACAAACAAACAAGCAAACTAAACATTGAATGAAATTAAAATCCTTTTTCATTGAATATAAAGTAGATATTTATTCTTTTAATACATTCATTCTTATCAAGTTTACTTATTCTTGTATCTTTCCTATGTCTATCTATTTTATTTTATAATTGATTAATTTAACACTCATGTATATTTATTTGAATATTTTTATCAGTTTATCGTATCAACTATTTTCTCTTTATTTTTTCTACTGACTTCTTTTTCTTTCCTTTTCTTTTTTCGTTGGTTTCTTCTCTCACCTTCTATTCCATCGTGTGTGTGTATGATGAAGATGATTGTTAGACATCATAATACATTTAAATCATCTATTAATTTGTCATTTATTAAATAATACCAGTGATGATAATGATCAATATTTAATAAAATGGCGGTAAAAAAATTTTTTGTTTTAAACAACGAAGAAACGAAGGTTCAATGTTTAATTAATTAATCAATGATGTATTTAATGTTTATTTGTTTGTTCTTTTTTTTGTTGTTGACTTTATCAACTGACTTATATATTTTACGCCTCATTAATACAGAAAAATTTGTACTTTATTTTATTTATTTACTAATCTACTGCATAAAAAAATAGTAATGTAAATAAACATTTGTTTATTTTCCTATATATAATAACCCTGATAATTAGAATGATATGGAATATATTACAAGTATTGCTTCAACATGTAACAACACTAAAATCATCAGTGAACTTGAGAAATCCCTATAAGTTTTTAAACTAATCAGAAAATGCAATAAGAGTGGATATATTGTCACTTTTGTACGTGATGGTTATTTATTGGTTAAAACGTTCAACTTTCGATTTAGGAAATTCCTAGTTTGAATGCGACTACGTCTATATAGGTTTGTTCAACTGACTTGTATAATTAGCCCTCACACTTACAACTTGACTTGAAATCAAGTAAATGAGCTTGTTTTTTTACGAAATTACTATGCTCTTTAAAACATGAATAATATTCTCTACGTTCCTTGTATTAGAATCGAAAAGTACTATGCATAGGAAATCATTCATACAATTTCAAATCTTTATTCTTTGTAGTTTCATATGAGTCTTAATACGAGTTTTACTGTGTATTTTAGTTGTAAGGTCTTTAAAAACACATCTGTCAATAACCATTGTATGAATAAATACAAAGCTGTGAAGGCACTTGTATGTTTTACATCTGTCTAAACTAATGATGATAAGATTTCGATCCGATTTCTTAAAATGGTGTTTTTAAGGAATTCTATCCCATATTTCTAAACTGTACTGTAATTAAACAAACAAGCTATCCATTCATCCAATTCTTGATTTCTTAATATATTCGTTTACTTTTATAGTGTTGATTTGTATTTGCAATTACAAAATAGTTTTCCTAATTAATTAAACATCCTGAATTTACTTAATTATACTCAGTAAAAGTAGTCAGAGTCCGGTCACTGTTCAGCACTGTTTTTGTTGATACTCCTTAACCTTTAAGTTAGATTGACCTTTTTCAAAGGCATAGTTTCACTAAATCTTTCTATGGAGCTAGAACTCTGTTAAATTAAACTATAAAGTGAATTTCAATTAGCATAGATTTACTCTCAATGTAAGATTTTAACGACATTTATTAATGGTAGTTTCAAACAGATACAACTACAATGTTTTTGTTCTCGTGTAATATTTTTAAGTAAACAAAAACGGTTCTATCCACTTTTTTGGTCTGTTTAGCACAGTAACTGGAAGTCTATATAACCAGCAATAAAATAGTAACACAAAAATATCAGTTTGACAGGTAACATTTACATTAACAATGACAAAGTAACCGTGCTTTACTGATTGATGGCTCACACATGTAGATGTAAACACTAGTCATGTGTGTGGTTGTTCAGATTGTAATTTGTTTGAATTGCGTTGTTATGACATGTAACCAGTATGTTGGTTTATCAAGTGTATGGTATTAAGATGCTTTAGTATGCGATATTCTACTGCATGACTTGACAGTCCCACATCGGTGATTAGTTAGTGCATTTGATTATAATAGGAGTAGCAGATGACTTGAGATTTTCGCTCATGACCAGCTACTGTTGACTGGGATGTGATATGAATAACGAAAAAACTTAAATAAAGTCAGTTAAAGACGTAAGATTGATGAATGAACTAATCGACCATTCTACTAAGCGTCTCAAGATTGATGAAGGAAATTTGAATCAGTTATTGACATGACAATAAAGAAGTTCTTGATCAAAATATATTAATTATGTACTTTTTAGTCAAGGAACTATATACGCTTTGATATAATTCAGGGAGAGACCAAGTTGTGTGACTATAAACGCTTTCAAACCATTTAAGCAAAAACTAGACATCGATAACACAAGTTGTATTGACACAATTACAAACCGGAAATGAAGGTCATGTTTAGAATGAAATTGGTCACTTACAACATAGACTGTTTGCATATAAAAAATATAAACTATTAGACTAACTGGACTATTAAAATAAGGAGGAAACAGACATTAGTGAATCATAACACTTAGAACCTGACTAGGGAAATATCTGAAACTCATCATAGTATTACTTTCTATGTTAAAACAAAGTACACTGTCGGTGTCTATACTCTGACCATAGATAAAAATTCTATATCGTTAACATAAGTGCCAGTATCCAAGTCAACAAGAAATTTTTTATCCGATGGTAAATTCTAAACTTTTGTACCTACCAAAATATAAAATATCCGCAGTGTGTATATCCATACTCTAAAGCATCCCCGACTATCTACTTCAACACGCGATATTAGCTAGTCTAGAAGTAGGTTGCAAGAAAATTGGGATTGGTTAAACCAAAACGTGACATCACACTATAGTGTCATTGATCTCTGACCTGAATTATCTTGGTACATCCAGACTACGTGGTTAGAGTTCAGCCGATTCATTTGACCAATTCAGTTAAGACGTATGAAATGACTCAACATTTACCGCTATAAATCCTGAATCCTAAGATTATCTTGTAATGGTGATTTGAATCTATTCTTTCTTTCTAAATCACATTATTTATGCCTGAGGTGATATAAATCGTCTAACAACTGACTGAAATTTTTAATAACTGTATAACGATACCGAAAACCCGTCTATGAACAAAATACGGCCACATAATACTATTTTAGACTGCGAAAATGTAAAAGCAAAATTCTCATTTATTCAAATTAAATCTTATTTTCAAAAGTAACTGATAAGTCTTCTGACTGAACGCTTGAATTGGTTTCCAAAACCCTTCACGTAACCCCAGGCTAAATCTACACAACCTCAACGCGAGAGAAAAGACGCGAAATATGGGAAGAACGCTTTAGTCCAAGATTAGTTCATGTACAAAAAGGCTTTGGGCTCCTAAAAAGTTCTGGAACCTTACTAAACATAGTAGCAGTGTAGGCGATCATCCAACCAGAAATGTAACACATGACTCCTCACTTTCTAGATGTTTTTGGGATACTTCTGTCCAATGCTAACTGGATAAAGTGTTTCCCAGAGTTTTTAGGTGTGGCGCATATATATTTGGTGCCCAATTGTACCAATATTTATGTGTTTAAATGAATAAATAAATAACAGTTTTTAGAGCCCTTCTGAGCATCTTCCGAGGAATACTTGGAATCTCATCAACAGTAACAAAATGAGAACACTTTCTTATTACTAACAAATGCCTACGTAGCGTCGAAATCACGAATATTAAGAACTACTTATTATAACAAACGAGATATCGGCGCAACGTTTGCTATTCAACGTAATCAAACTTTACTCTATTTGGTAACAACAATACAGTGGATAAATTATATTAACAAATGGCAAAATGCCCTCTTGTTAGATCCATACCTCTCTCATTCATGTACCTTAGATTTTTGTGACGATAATTAAAATGATTTTTGTATCGAGAAAAATAACTTGAATCAAAAATAAAAAGTATTTTTCTCTGAGAAACAAAATACAAATTGCATTGAATGGGTTATGAAAATTCTTTTATGAATGACGACGTGGTCGTTTTGATTTATTTTGACTCATAAATTTCATTTTTCCTTGATTAGACGATTGATGATGATGACGATTTTCTGGTCTCCTTCTTTTCGAAACTCCTTTTTCACGATATTGGCGGTGTTTATGATTGCTATTGCTACTGCTACTCTGTGAATGTAAACGTTTTTGTTCCCAAAACCGTTGTCGTTTTTCTTTTGCAGTTTCTTGTACATCATATAAATGACCAACTTCTTCAGCACTTGCAAATAAATTATTCAAATTGAATTGACTGGAAAGGAGAAAGTTAAAAAAGATAGCAATTTTAACAATCAGTTAATATAGATTTAAATCTAAAAAGATTTCACCAATTATAAACAAAAGCGTTTTGAGTGAGACTATAATTTATAGACAAATCAATCAGATATAGGATAACAGGTTTTCAATTTCAGCGTGAAATTTATTCATCCATTTGGCATTTTAACTTATCCTCATAGAATATACAAAAATTAAGAATATTTGAGCGAACAATCGTTTTCAATAACTTCATCATCAGGCTCTACAGTTATAAGTCCATAATTATAATATTTTACAAAGGCCAAAAATAAGGCATGTATTAATGAAATTTGACAATGTTATGTGTTAACACATGCCTTATTTTTTGGCCTTTGTAAAATATTATAATTATGGACTTATAACTGTAGAGCCTGATGATGAAGTTATTGAAAACAATTGTTCGCTTAAATATTCTTCATTTTAACTTATGTTAGTTCGTGATGAAAACCCTAAATCTAGTTCCGAACCCTGACTATCAACTGTAAATCATAATTCTAATTCCTCACATTTCCGTATAAACCTAATTTAGTCCAAGTCAGTAGGTGGACATTCTCAAAGTTACTTTAGCGTCGCTTAAAGGTCGTCTATAAATTATAGTCTCGTTGAGTTCCGGTATATCAGTTCTGGATTAGGTTTTCTCTAGCTAGACTACTTGTGGCAATGAATGAAAGGTACTGACAGTTTCTTTAAAAAAACGAATAAAACATATTTTGAAGACGTTAACTTAATTTCAGTAGTTGAAATCATGAATCAATTAAAGTTAGACCACTGTGGAAAACCTGGAAGCACTGGACGGCCGTTTCGTCCTAGTATGGGACTTCTCAGCAGTGCACATCCACAACCCCTCCCCCCGCTGGATTCGAACCCAGGACCCATCAGTCTCACGTGTGAGTGCTTAACCACTAGATTACTTAATATTAGGCAGTTTTGGGGTGGAAATTCTCGGTTTTGCTAATCAAATATTAAATAGATATTTGAGAGTGCAGACTAACTTCCTTGTAATATAGCTTAAGATAGAGATTTTAAATTCATCCCGAATTGAAAAATGAATCTGGAAATCAACCATATACACATAAAAACCTATTCACGTCTCAAAAAAAATATTAGAATTGAAATCATGAACCGATCCATCTTAAACCGCCACTGAAAACTCCGATGTACTGGATTGCCGTTTCATTCAGAACCTCCACAATCCCATACTGAAAAGATTATTAATTAAGTAGGTCGAGTACTAATGATTTTATAGACATTCACCTCATATTCATGCGTGCTTTTTTAATTGTACACATAAGTGAATCTGTAAAAATTGAAAAGTTGAAATCTATCATATGCTGAAAAGAAATATGTAAAAAAAGAATTTCTTCGATATATTGTACTGTAAACAAAGAGTCAATCACAATTTATTTATGTATATCCTTTGCCGATTGATTGCACAGTAAACATACATAACAGGAAATGAAAACTTCATATATGAATCATTAGAGTGGAAAGTATTAATTAATTGAAGCATTGATCGATATAAGTTTCAGAAATGTAACAGTAATCCTTGGAAAATAGAAATTGAAGTTAATCATATAACTGATAATAAAATGAGGAAATACATAAAATTAATTATTTAATAATACAATGAACTACTTTAATAGTTTTCAATAGACTATATATATATATATATATATATATATATATATATAGAGAGAGAGAGAGAGAGAGAGAGAGAGAGATGTTGATTACGTAATTAAAATCTAAGGTGTTGTATAACATTCCAACAGGTCAGAAAATGAGTGCTTCAGCCACCAATTTAAGTATGAAGTTCTTCTTAACCCTTTAAATTTGGAGTATATAACATTGCGTTAAAAAGTGATTAGAAATGGCTGAGAGGAAATTCTGTTTCAGTCAGTTGGCACTCGTCAGTAGGGCAAACCTGT